TAAGGTACATTCCCACATTGATTTCCTTTCAGAAAAGTTGCTACACGTAAACATCAGAGCAAGCACTCTGGTAGAAAAGTGGTCCACAGTAACAAAAAAAAATAAAATAAACACCTTTGTAAAACCATAAGCTTCTTCGCACCACTCTAAAATCAACTTCTTATAACACAATATGCCAAGTTATAGACCCTGCCCCACCGATAAAACAAATCTAGGCTCAACATCATAATTAATAGTATTAAATGAAATTAGGGACAAAAATCTATATTTTATATACATATGTGAGTGTAGTTCTTAATTTGGATAGGGCCATGGACAGTAGCAATAGTAAATTTGTAAATAGATCCTAAACAACATTATTTTCATTGCCAAATAAATAATAAATATTTGATATTTTAATAATTTTAACACGAGTCATTAGACCTTTGGTGGCTCTGCAATACAGTGTGAGGCCGGCGGCCTGTGTGCGGTGTGAACTTCCTACACCTGGTTTTTACGGAACTGTTAAATGTTTAAAATATTACTGTTCCTGTTCGACAATATTATTCCGCACTATAACAATATTGTTTTATATGGTTTCTTCTGTAGGTAGTCGCGAAATGTATAATAACATTTCGCAGAGATCCATTTGAGTGTGTTTATTATTACTTTGTTTTAATTGGTTATAAACTATATAATAATAATAGTGAAAATACTAAACGTACCCGTACGGTTTACTCCGTGACAAATTAAATACCTACCCATGGTTGTAAACCCCTACCATACACCCGTCTCATAACCCTTTACCGGGGTGGCATGTTTGCTTAGGGATGCTTTAAAGTTTATGAATTCAGTAACAAATATATTATTATAATGATTTCAATATTTTGTAAGTATATACATGTCACCGCATCTCTTTTTACAATATCTATCTGAAAAATTCGATTCCATATAGAGACGGGGCATTCTGCTGCTGTTCACGGGGAAATTTTAAAAAATATTTTCTAGATATAGATTATATGTGTATAAAACTACCGTTTTCTCTTGAGTCGTTGGTGTGTTCAATGAAAATTAAAAATGAAGAAATAAAATGCAATGCAAAATACAACAATCAAAATGTCATCCATCTTTTAGCGATTGAATTTCGTGATAAAAAGTAATCCATGTCCGTTTTCAGGATACCTCCCTGCAAAATTGTATCAAAATCGATTCGGCCGTTTAGCCGTGCGAAGGTACAAAACATACAGGGACATTTTCGCATTTATAATATTAGTGGATTATAAGCTGTGAATAATAATAATATTCAGTGTAATGTATTTTGTATTACTGCAAATCGATATGTAACGCTTCTCACAGAATTTACTTTTAAAGTTTCATCATATTCACAGAAGAAGGGTTCGTTGTGAAATATTAAAATATTTATTAAGAAGTTCACGTTCTAATATCATAATATACAAAACTAAGTTCATCGAATTCAAAATTTCTGGAAATTCGATAATTTATTAAACGGATATTCGGAGTTACGAAACTACGAGAGTGTTATAATTTTTTTATTTGCGAGTATAATTTATATTTTAAAGTGGTCGACCTCCTGTCATATACGTGATATATGCAGACAGTTTGTTTTATGTTTACTTTATGTTGTACTATAGTACTATTTAAACATTGTTATCGTTAGAAGAGTATTTACTAGTGCTTCTGCGAATAGTTTTTTTTTTTTTTTAATATTTTGATTTCTTAATAAGTTATTAATGGTTAAAGTTAATCAGTTAAATATGATTATCTTGATAACAAATAAAAAACAATAAAAAAATATTAATACAAGTATTAATAAATACCTCTTGATAGTGATGCGAATTTTGTACCAGCATATATACTCATATATAAAAAGCTCTTAAATATTATTAATTGTCTTGTATTTTTTTTTTCATACGGATTAGTTTCTAAACGATCATGTGATGAACACCTGGATAAAAAATTGTTTTTAACAAAGCTTAAGTTGTTGATGGGATGTAATCGTAAAATATTATCAGGAAATATATGGAAGCTGTGGTCTTTTTAAAATATATATATATTTTTATACTCATAAATAAATTATGAAAAACTTACGCAAAATTTATAATAAAACGGTATTTGTGAGGGTTTAAAACGATTCAATTTCCACCATGTCCAGAGAATATAAATCTTGGTTATTTTCTATTTTATTTGAGTATTAGTGTAAAATATTTCGCAAATAAAACGCATTAGACGGGAAACCACGTACTGAGTAATGCACTAATGCGTATATTTTGATTATTCGTTGCAGACAATTCGTTATCGTTGTATTTGTATAGATTATCATTATTGGTGAATTCAGTAATATGCCGTCTAAAAAACAATAGGTAACCATTAAAATCGATACGATAAAAGAAATATATATATATTGGTTGGTTGAATTTTCAGATTACTTCATATATTTGGCAACGTTGCGTGGAATTATAAAAACCGAGCGTTATCAATCGTAATAGTCAAAAAGGTCTAAAAAAGGTATCGGTGATAATGGCCGTTATCAATTGTATTTCTGTCCGAAAAAATATTATACAGTGTATCCCACGAAAATATACATCTTTATGATTTTCGAAGATTTATTCAAGGGGTACATCTTCGTGGAACAGCCTGTATGTGTACGGTATGTCGGCATACCTATGTAATACACCTACAATACCTTCATTACATAGGCGTTAGAATATATGTACTAATGTATATTTCGGTACGATATTGTCAACAAGGTTGCAGGGAGACACTGTTGACCGCTGTATAATATAACATGATACATAATATATAATATTCAAAGTCTGTAGTTAAGTTTGTATTTAATTTCGATTTTCTGACGACCAATTCTTAAATGAGTATAGGATACCTAGGTATATGATTCTATTGATAGTAGTCCGATGGATATAATACGCGATAATAATATTTATTACACGTTTTAATTATCGTAAGAGACGTAGCTGGGGTAATATAAATAATGTACAGTCTGTATATCAGATTCGGGTACATCGCGTGATTGTAGTTACTGCACGTTTCGAAATTAAGATTTTCGACATAGGTAGGCAATAAATCTAAGCACGTGCGGCACGGTGGTTTTTCGATTTGACGTGCGAACACACAGTTTTATGTTTGTTGTTTCGACTGTAATCACCGCGAAGAACGAACTTATTTTATACCCTTCCACGCCGCACTCTCCCCGCACACAGAAACCTACGTATATATACGGTTTACTCTAAACGTTTTTCATCAATCCAGCCCTTTTTGTCGTTTCGTATAAAAAGGTATATTTGATAACTTACAGTGGAGTACCTCTCCAGTTTCAGTTAGGTATCTTGGCGAAATAATAATAATAGGTGTAATAACAATATATTGTTTCAACCATGGTTATCCATAAGAGTTATTATACGTATACTATGTAGCCGCGATTCCAATCGTTATTGTTTGTATCGGATAACAAGTCAAACTTTTAAGTTGATATTTACATGAGTAATATAATAGTATGTCTCTAGCGATTTTTTTTTTTAAATAACAACTATCTTTTTAAACTTTTGATTGGTTCAGTGATTTTGACGACTACCCTCTATCGTGTAGTTATTTTCCCTTGCTTTCCTATCCAGAAAATAAATTCTACCCCCTGTTTCTGTCTCGAATAATGCCGTCTGATAAGCTAGTTCTTAAGTTATCCTTAAACTGTCATCATCAAATCCTACAACTAACAATAATATATAACGTACAATCACGGGAATTCCAATTCCAGACACAGGGCATTAAGTACTTCGTCCTTGTCAACGACAAAAAAAAAAGAGATTTTGTGTAAATTAATTATTTTTTAAATATCGTCTATATAGTGTATATATACATATATATAAATATAGACGGTAACTTATAATAATATTAAACTTGTCAAATAAAACTTTTTTATACTTCGCAGAATAATTTTCGATGTTCCTACAGGAACTAAAACTAATCGTGCTGTTAAACCGATATTTCTTCTTAGTACTGCATGAAATCTATTGGATGTACAACGGCGGCGTGTTTGAATAACTATGGATTGAGCGCAGGTATTTTAGTTGTAAATTGATTATTGTTACTTTCGATTTTGGACGAGTAAAATATAATTTGAGTTTACGGTTCGAATTACTCAAACATGACACGATTTTGAGTAGTACTTTAACTATGGCAACACTATATTGTAAAATAATACACACACAGCACGTATACATTGATTATATTTGAATAATTTAAAGTGACTAAAAATTATAAATAATACAAAAAAAAAAAAAACCAGATTTAATACAAAATCGACCGATCGATACTTTTATAATAACGCCCGTTGGTTTTTTTTTTTATTTTTATCTCGATTGTTCAAGAATAGATTTTTATAATTTAAAAAAAAAAAGAAACCAATCTGGTTTGATTTAATACTTTTATAATGATTGTATTCTTGTCCCGTATATATCCAAACAGTAGGCGATTATTTTTTAAATTCATATTCAAATATTGAGCATTTATTTGGTACCTACATCCCTATCATCTCATAATACAGTCAGTACTAAATAATTCATAGAATAAATTAATAAAATAGTTGTTAAATTTATTTAATATTCTTCAATATTAAATCTACTAAATATATCAAGTTAATAACTTTAATTTATATATATTCTAGACTGGTAGAGAAAGATATTGACATCCGTATTTAAAGGGAGCAAACAGGGATGGATCCAGTCGATCCAGACATTTTTCAAGTGATGAAAGGAAAGGGTGTTTTAAATCTATACAACACCGAATGTATAGCATACATTAAAACGTCGTGTTGGGATCACTTCAACACGATTTTTTGTTTAAATTATTTGGGGATATTTTTTTATCCATTATATAAATTTTTAATATAATAGAGTATAATATTATGGTAATACATTTGTCATTACCAAGGTCGGTCGTCCAAGTTCAATAAATTGATGTTTCTATTTATGCATATTATTATAATAATAAACGGTAAACGAACAATAATTTATTAAATACAAAATATATAAAATATATAACAATTATTAATAATGTATTATAATATACGTACACGTATATGTACACGTTTTCATTTTACAAACAATAAATAAGTGTCACAGAACTACACATGTTGGTACCACCACCAGTTTACACAAACAAAAAAATTAAATCCGTTAATAAAACCGAAATTTTCGGTTTTAGTTTTTTTAATTTTAATTTTTTACTGGTGTGTCTTTGGTATTACCATCAGACACGGTGGTTTCTACTATAATATGCATGATCTTAAAATATAAGGTCGGAAAACTAAGGGTACCAATGCAGCAACTTGGAGACCCAGTGTCGGTAAATATTTTATCCATTGTCTCCATTGTTTTGGCGACAGTACGACTAGCGGAACTTTTTGTGTTTTGAGGTTAGGTTAGGGTTAAAAGCTATAATTATAATTAATTAATAAATAATAGTTGTAGTGTTATTTGTTTACAAACATAAAATGTAAAAACTCGTTAAATTTAAAAATTTAAACTTTTGACATTTTTAGACATTCAAACTCAATAAAGTTCGGTTTGAAGTGCTCTCTGAAAATAATGGGAAAAAAGTGAATTAAAACTGTTTCTATAAGTGACTGTGTGTGTTTACCACACAGGAGATAGCTTTGAAATTCTAAGACCATGAATATAGCCGTCGTAGACGTTCAATCAAAATGCGTCGAGTGACGTTTTTACAATTTATAGTGGTAAACACTGAAATAACTAAATTATATGTCAAATATATGATAATAATAAAATATAAATTATTTACAATTTTCAAAAAGCATCGTTTATCACAATTTTATTGTGCAGAGCATTCTGATCAGATGTTAGATGTCCATCTGTTATCACGTGGTTCTCGTGACGATGGCTTGAGTGTCGTCCGTTGGGTCCTGGGGCACGGGTGGCGCTGGCAGGCCTCCACCGTCTTCTGGTTTCAGAAGTGCTACGCCAGCGGTGCCCATGCGCACGCAATTGAAGTTGAAGGCGAGCACTGGCCTCTTCTCGGTCTGTGCCTCCATGCTCATGCATACATGCACGTTCCGACCCACAAAGTAAACGTCGCTGAACTTTAGGCAAACCCGGCTGCGAGTCCAGGCCGGCGGGAAAATTGGCACACATATCGGCCTAGGGTTTCGGCCTGTAACAGATAATAAAAAAAATATATTAATAAATAAAAATCAAAAAAATTGACTCTGGTAAAAATGAACAAAATAGAAATAATATGAAATAGAAAAATGTATTTATTAATTTATTTCATTAATTTGTTTTAAAAGGTAACCTGGTCTATGTTATTTGGAGTAACGTAATGATACTATACCATCTTAACTAATTCAGGCGTTTAATAGTTACAGTGAAATAAAGAAACGCACTTACATACACTGTGCCCTCTTTTTAGTCTGGTAATAACCATATTAATTAATCTTATTTAATTTAAAACTTATAACTTTATTAATCAATTTAAAAAAAAAAACCAGTTTATATGTTTATTTTTTACGTTCAAAAAATCTTACGACTAAAATTTGTTGTTTTCCCAAATAAAAACACAATGTACCTAGCAGTTTGATTCTTTGCTTCGGAGATGAGTGACAATCCAATGACTTTTTTGCCGAATTATCCTCGAAAATAGATACAATTGCTTTGTATTATGTCTGTTATACATATAATTATATTTTTTTCGTTACTTTTGAATGTTTTTAGCGGCCTCCTCTATTATTAGCGTGCCTAAGTCCTCTTGTCAGGGGAAGTAACAATCTTTGAAATCAAACTTTACTCACAAATCATAAGCACAAACTTTGTTTTTGGGCAGCTTTTATGATATTGGTTATGAACACATAGTTTTTACTTAATGTGGATTTGATTTGGGGGACCTCGGTTAAGTTATTAGGGGCTCAACCCTAAATAGCCTTACTCCTCTATGTGCGCCAATGCACAAAAACACGGAGACGTTAGAGTTCAATGTTCAAAAAAATGTATAACCTAGTTTAAGTTAATTGCATCACAGAATATGAGCGATTCTAGGCATAATTATATTATAAGCTTGCATGCGTCTTTTGAATATTATTTTTCGAATTCATTTGTAGTACATCTATATTGTTTTAAATTGTATCAAATCAAATAAACAACATTGGATACTAAACAATAGATTCGTTGATATTAAATAATAATGACAAACAACTTATTTACAACAGTTAGATAAAGTACCTATATACTTATGAATTAACATATCGGCGTATGCCCTACTTATGAAATTCCAGAACATCACTACCAAAATCCAGTACGTAAAATAAATTGATTTTCAAAAATGTATTTAGAATCTTTCATTCTGAAATACGATAAATATAGGTAAGCAATATAAGTATTTAATGTTACTTTATCGTCCCGCAGAGTCGTGTCAAATAGATATCATTATAATAAATATAAATGAAACATAAAAAAAATATTGATTTTAATTAATTCTAAAAATAATAATTGTACACGTCATCGTCGTTTTTTTTTTTTGTATTATGAACAACGTTTAACACTGCGGCCGCCGCAGAGCAAAACGATATAAATTGCAGTTATTTGAATGAGACTTGAAATCTAACGTATCGTACAATATCGATACAGCTTTTTAAAAACGGCCATGAGATTTCTTTTTTTTTCTTTTATAATTATGTCTTTCTTGTGATTCGTTTCCCTTTATATTTGGTTTAAAATCTATGTAACATAAGTATATGGAACTTGAAATCAAACGTGACGTACAATATCGATACAGCTTCTTAAAAATGACCATGAGGTTTATATTTTTTTCTTTTATAATTATGTCTTCCTTGCGATTCGTTTCCATTTATTTTTGGTTTAAAATCTAAATAACATAACATATACTTATATGTATATTCTAACACATGATATAATGAAAATATTTTAATAGGCATATTATACACCACATACCTATGACTTAAGCCATTTAGAACATATTGATTTATTTGGCTTATGTTCAATTAAACCTTTTAAATAAATTAGATATTTCATTATTGTTTGTTATATGCCATTTACTTTTTTCGGTTTGTGCCATGCTTGCAAGTAGATAGCGTTTGTCAATGGAAGAATAACCCTTAAAAGAACTGTAGCAAAGACACACAATGCCAAGACTTATGCAGTGAAGTGAATAACGAAACTGGAGATGCGGCTATAAGTGTAATCGAATTTTATTCCAAGTTGTCTCAGCAAGGTTTATTATCCATTTATTATTACATTATTTATTTATTTATCAATTAATATTAATTATCTATTATTATTTTATTATTATTACTATTGATAAAACCTAGCCAGTTATTTTTAATATTAAAATAAATAATTACTTTTTTTACCTTCAATACTATATTATGAGTTCATATAAAGATTAATGTAAGTTATAAAATAAAATTAGCGTAAGTGCGATTATCTTGAAACTACTTAATATTTACATCATTTATTACCAGACATTTACTTGGCATAAGAAATTAATAGTATAAATATTTAAGACTAAATTATAAATATTTAATTTTCACTTGTAAAAATTTTAAAAAGACGGACAATCTCGCACGATGGGTGGGTCATTGTTGAAGGTGAGAAGTTGAGAAGTTAGGATATAGAGTGGAATTCAATGAATATCTGTGCTCAACCATTTTTAACGAAAAACGATTCTAAGTGGAGTTCGGTTACACGCGTTTTGAAAGGCCGTAATATTTACGATTTACATCAAAATTAGGTATTAAAATTATTATTAAAGAAAAACTATACTACAATATACTCTAAATTTTTTTTTACTACAAAGTACGAATTAAAATGAATCTCATGTTGAATTTTCAAGCATTTCTGTTTAGTCTAATAATTTTATCCACAGAGTACTTATCGAATAAAAATGACAAAAAAAATTCGCAAAATTAAAATGTTTATAAATAGCTTAAAAATGCTTCAAATATTTTGCAAATGTTGCCACGTCTAGAAAAGGCAAGTATAAAATTTCTCAAATATAAGTTTTCTATCCAAATTTCATGTTTTATGTCTCTACGAATATTTTTAACTGAATTAAAAAAAAAAAAAATCAAAATTTAAAATAATAAAAGCATTATTTTCGTAAATTTTCCTGTTCTTTCTACGTTTTTTCGGGTTTGTTCAATTAATAATAAAAACACACAGAAAATCAAAAAACCACATTATTTTTAAGGAATAAGATCTAATATACGATAATAAAGGTCTCTTGTCGTTTTTTGATTGAAGCAAGATATTTAGAAGAAAACATAAGTTAAAAAATATAAAACCATAAAATCGTTACAACGTAAATATTTGTTCATTTATCTCTACGTTTTTCTTATATATTATGAAAACCCCTTGGAAAATCAAAAAAATGACTTCCTTAAAATATCAACTAAATGAAATTTTCTTTCAGAAAAGGCGCTACATTTGATACATCGAAGCAAGTTTGCTAGGAAAAATTGTGTACACAGTATAAAAAAAAAATAAATGAACACTATTGTAAAACTAATATATTCCTCACTTCGCTCAGAATCTAAAATTGAATACGCTTGTATTGAAATCCTTACAAAATTGATTTAAGCCAGAAGCCTTCCTTCTCTGGAACCGAAGAATAATTTGTGGACATATTTATAGGAAGCGACGTGTATTATTATAATGACTTTTTTTTTTATTATCGACAAGTAGGAGGTGATTTACAATATTCACATGTTGGCATGTTGCAGGGAGACGACTAAATTATAAAATGAATCGGAAATGTTTGCATTTAACAAAATTTATTTTTTGAACTTATGAAATATTCACCGTAAATTGTGTTCAATGTGGAAAAGAATAATTCAAATAAAATCGAGTAATAGCTTACATCGTGTTCGTTGTGTAATTTTCAGTCAGCGACTGATAACGCGAATATATTATAATGAAAGCGGGTATATTATATAAAATTGTGTCACGCAGAGCCCCACTTACTCTATAAACATATTTTTTTTAATTATTCGCCTATTTCTTGTGAAATTTATTAAGAATAAAAAAAAAAATTGTATTGATAAACTCTTTAAATAAATAATGCACATGACGTCCGGCTGCAATCGGTCACTTTACTTCGTGAAAAGCTACCAGAAATTTGTTTGACACTGGTTATTTTATGTCAATATGCTGAATATGATGAAGTATGGCCACGCCTATGATTGTAAATACTCATTAAAACTTAAATTACGACTGGTTTTGTTCGGTAGACTGTTAGCAGAGTTGTGGACATGTAATATCTTGAGATCGGCCGGGAGGGCTTTTTTTGTGGTATTCTCAAGATGTTTACGTGTAAACATTTAGGTTAGGTTTCTTTAGGTTAATTTTCAGAATTTTTTTAAGATGAGTTATGATCGATTTCAGTTATATCGTCACGGCTATTTTATTATTTATTGAATTATTTTCAATTCAATGTTTTTAACCAATTTAAGTTTGCGGATAATACCACTAACATATTTTAAATTTTTAAATGGCAACCCAAAGAACAAATTCCATAAATAGACGAAATTTTAATTTAAACAAATTTTGTTGTTGACATTTTTAGTTTCTATCAACGAGATATTACACTTTTAAGTTTGCCATTTTATGAGTTAGATGGCGAGCATTTAGTGGTTCATTATTTGTATAGCAGCTTGTGTACAAACAACATCAAATGCTATAAAATATTATAGAGAAATATTACATAATGTTTGGATTATGAGCAGTTTATTCACTATAGACCTACAACTACTTGTAGGTTTTTAGACAAACATTAAATAAAAATGCATAAATAATTATTTTAAATACGTGAAGTTATTGCTTTGGATTGCGTAAAACGAGTATATGACGTGAATTGAAAACAAATAGGTAAATGCTAAAACTATTTGAAAATCAACTGGCATGTAATAATATTGTTTGCGGTGAAATGACTGAACTGTTTGAGTAAACGTTTGCAAAAAAAAAAAAAACATTTTTAAAATGAAGTGAGAGGAAAATACACCGTATTTCCTATCCTCCACACTGTGAGGGATCGCACACGTATTTAAAATATTCACGCGTGTGGGCGTTTATAGTAATTTTTCGCACAAATTACAATTTATATTATAGTCAAATAATACGCCGGAAATAATTCTCCACTCTAATAATAATGCACGGTTTTGTAGCAAATTGTGCGTCGCAGTCATTTACCGGACCTAATAAACTCATCTAACAACGAATGTACCTTTTCAAACTCAATGGCTTAACGTGACATAATGGTTGCAATCATAATTGTTTATTAATAATTTCCGTGTATTGTCGATTCGAATAGAAAGCAAAAAAAAAAAAATCGTTAGTCGTTAGTATAACATTAATAATATTATTAAGTAACTATACTGATTTCGGTAGTATAATTTATTTTAATATTTGGATAATAGGTATTTTACCTTTAAAAATCACTTGGATTTGACTATTATTATTTTCATTACATTAGTGGACACAGTTAACGATGTAAAATTTCGATTTAAATTGGCTAACCATCGTATATTAGACTACAACATAATTTGAAGATTCGTTGTTATTTTTTTTATATTAAGATAAATATCGAGTACTAATTTGATTATAATTTCTTATATTTAAATTTAAAAAAAATATCGTTTTTACTGTCCAATTAAAACAGATACGATCTTTATTAGGATGTTAAAGGACCGCCACTGTAGGGATTTAAATAACAGCAATATGAAATGGATTAAAATACTTATAAGAGACTGCTGAGATAAAAAGGAAATTACTGGTAGGTACCGTACGTTTGTTAAATTTATAATTACTATAATTACTATAAAGGATGTCTGTTTTCTAGGGTTTTAGTATATAAAAATGTATTTAGGATGATTTTATATAATAATTATAGGTTTTAATACCTCCATTATTATTACCATATTGAAAAAAGGGGAATTTACATACTTTACAATATTCATATTGAATAATAGTCAAATAAAAAAAAAAAATATTCTAAATATGCCATACAAGTTTTGTACAAAATTTTACAGTACGATACTACATAATTTTAAATCAATAACATTTGAAATTTTTTTTTATTATTTATATTTCAACGCCTTGAGGGCGTTAATCGTTTATAGATTTTGATAATTAGTAATAAAATAAGAATAAAATGTAAGAAAAAAAGAAACAAATCTAACAAGAATAAGTTAAGGCAACAACATTAATACAATTTATTAATAATAGATGGCAAAGTATCGAAAAAAATATCGATATTAAATAAATTATTAATAGTGCGACAAGCGCGATCAAGAAGGGCTACGTAAAGAGTTTGAGGATTAAAAGAAGGAACCGTTAATGATAATTTGGAAAGTAAATCTGGAGCATCAATATTATTATTTAATAATTTATAAATAAAAGTTACACCAATCTCAACTCGTCTTTCGGTGAGAGATTTAAAACTATTATTGTTAATTCGGCAAACAAAATGAGCACATTTTTAAGAATTTGTTTTGTACTCTATTTAACCGATCATTATAAGATAATCACGAGTTGACTAAATAATAGAAGCGTATTTGAGCTCCGAACGAACTAAATCCATATGTTTAATGCGTAAATATTAAAGAAACCAATAGTGTCACGGTTTATAAGACAAATCGTCTTCATTAAATGATAAATCGGTGACAAAAATAACACCTGAATCTTTTATAGTAGAGACAGAAACTAGAGGGGTGGAATTAATAGAACAATGAAAGTTTATATGTGAATGCGTTCGGAAAAACTATGTATAATTGCATTTGTTAATATTTGTAATTAAGCTATTACATGGGCACTATTCATGGAAATTATCTAGACATCTCAGGAGATTTAGACAGTCAGATGTGTCAATTATAAAATTAAATACCTTCAGGTTGTCAGCGAAAAACGAAAATTTGCAAGATGAAAAGCATTGGGACAAATCATTAATAAATACGTTAAATAGTCAAGGAGAAAGATGACCACCTTTGGGACGCCCGAAGTAACGGTAATGGGAAAAGAAGAATAATTATGTATTTTTACAAGTTGGGTACGAAAAGTGAGTTTTATAATGAAACTTGTCTTAAATTTTTAATCATTTTTGTTTAGTCAAATATTTTATCCATTAATTCCAAATAAAAACTAAAAAAAAACTAGAAATTGCCAAATGTTTACAAATAGCTCAGAAAACGCTAGAATAGTTTAAACATTTTACCGTTTCTAGAAAAAACTAAAATTAGTAACTTTTTAAGTTTATTTTTAACAGAATTAAAACAATAAATCAAATTTTAAAATAACGTTATTAACTGTTATTTCCGTAAACTTTTCCGTTAGTTTTATGTTTTTTCCCGGTTTTGCCTAATTAATACTACACGAAAACACTAAACACGATTTTCTTAGCACAACCTACAATTTTTGTTTTTTAGGTAGCGCTAATAAATTATTAGGGTTATTGTAAACGATTACCCCGTCATCGACAAGCGAATTTTCAACTTAAAAATTATATCTGTCTAATGTGAGGTTTTTTATTTCCTCATTAATATTCGAGATAATGAGGGTAATCTCGGTCTTTAGGTTAAAAAATATTAAAAGATTAAAAATAAGGTTATTATTGGCAGCTGTTTTTATTTATTTTTTGTTATTAATTTTTTTTTATTTTAATCTTTTTCAAACAATCATTGTTGTCGTGGAAACGTACCTTGTAATCATTTTACCCTAATATGACATATACCATATTATATTGTATTGTTTACTAAGCAACACTATAAACTGAACTCCGCTCAGAATCTTATTTTCGTTAGCAATGGTTTATCGTTATTTACAGATATAAATTAAATTCCCGTATGCATCCTACCTTCCCAACTCCCCATCTACAACAGTGGCTGCACCCACGTGTGAAGTATGTCCGTCCTTTTTTTATAATTGAAATTTACATTGGAGGAAAATATTTACATTAGAATAATGAACGCTATTATTAATCTGAAATATTTTTAACTGTTATAAATTAAATTAAAGTGAAATATGAATTTGGTGTGACTTAATTTATTTTAGAATATTAAAAAAATAAGTTCTTTATGTATGTTGACAGTTTTTTTTTTGCAGGTTCGTAGAAACTAAATTCATTTATTTTCTTTTATAATTTTGTTTTTCAGTTTCACGTTTTAAATACCAGCAGTAATAATCGGCTATTATACTTATGTCTCTTGGTCTTGATATCGCCTTTCTATCTTTTTGATGTCCTGATGAAATCGTTCACCTTGTTCTTCACTTAATTAAGCTAAATTTTCCGGAAAATAGTCAATATGCATGTTTGAAAAGTAAATTCATAAGTTTTCCATTAAATCAGCTACAATGAATTCATAATTTGGATCTTTCGTATTAACTAAAAACTTAGATATCACACTTTTAAAACTATACATTTTTTTCTACATTGATTATTATATTATATTTAAATGTAGTGTCTTTCATTAGTACGAGTATTTTTATTTGTGAGCTATCAAATATGTTTTCTTTGAGTTTCGCTTCAGATAAAATAAGACATTTATTGTAAAGATATTGAAAACAATATCCATTTTTATCAAAGGTCTGTGCAGATAGTTTCATTTTAGGTACCTAACATTATGTACAAAGAAACTAACACGATTTTTTATGGTTCAACTAAATCATAACGTATTATATTGTTTGTTTCTAGAAACTTAGAAAAACTTAGTAAAATCACCTTGTCGCCCTAATAAAAATCCCAAACTTTTAATTCGCTAATAGAAAAATTAATTTTTGTTATCCGTGTTAACAAAACATTAGACGTGCTAGAGAAAAACAAATTATAGATTTTGATTCAGCGCACTAAAATTTATCAATATTGAAACATAAGGTTAAACAGCAAAGTGGTCACAGGACTGTGTTATTTTTGATATGCGTTTACAAGTTTTCTGATGATGATCGTTCAAAAGTTTCAATAATTTTACGTTGTGTTTGTTAATAATTATTACGCGTGCACAATATACACTCGTAATAATTGGACCACGATCGCAAACATATAATAACAAACACAGTAATTGTGTAACATGCGATAATAAACATTAAACAAACGTATAATAGATATCTGGGTAGATCATCCGTTTAAGTAAATGATGATTTTGAGGTCATAATATTAATACATGCAATATAAGCACATCTATATGCAAAAGTTAGTACGGTTTTCAGACATCAGGACGAGGGAAATAGACGAAACTAGATGTTGGTGTACAATGGCTTGTAACGTATTGATGGATGTCGGATTCTAATTATAATAACATATAATCTGCTTTAATTACCAACTAATAATACAGGTATGTACACATTGTAATATATACCGGTAGTATAAACCGAAGCGTTGTAAACAGATTCCAATATTGTATACCTATATTGTCTATACTAAAACATCCTTCATAGACCCCACGGTTCATTAACGTCAAAATCGAGTTTTTGGTGTTTATAATAACTTTAATCTTAGAGAAGAAGGACTCAAGTCATTTATGTGTAGTTTTCAGTACAAGCCAATCAAATTTTTAAAATACATGTATTTACGCATAGATACACTTGTACATAAACTAATGCACACAAATTTTCATGAAAATATCAATTTCACGAAATGGTTACGACATATTTATAAATACCACCAGTATATTATTTGTACATGTTTAAAGTTTAGATGAGAATACATGAGGAGTACAGACAGAAGTGAAAATGTTTTATTACCTCCGTATAATCGCCCTCTTTTAAACTTTAAACGCTAATAAATAATATGTACTATTTGTTCAATATTCGTTTTTAGATTCTGAGTGGAGGAAAGAAGCTTATGGTTTTAAAAAGATATTTTTTTGTTTTTTTTTTATCCATGTGCGCAACTTTTCTACCAGAAGACTTGCTCAGATTTTTAAGTGTAGCACCTTGTTTGAAAGGAAATCGGTGTGGGTAGGTACTTTATGGAAGTAATTTGTTGATTTTCTCAGGAGTTTTCTCATCAAATTTGAAAACCGAAAAAATGGGAAAATATTACTATTATTTTTCTGTGCACAACTTTTCAACTAGCAATTTTGCTAGTTGCTGAGTATGAACAAAAAACAGAAATATGTGAATATTTGACGTATATATATTTGGATTACAATTTCTAGATCCGCAATCACTCGGCGATTGCTTTTTTTTCGAATTAGCTGAGATACTATCAATTAATGAAAAACTTAGAAAATTTACGGACTACTTAGTTGAAAATCACATTGAAAATAATTCTTTGATCCCCATTCCAATTAGAGTAGAAAAAATCAGTAGTGTTTTGATTTTAATTCGGTATTATTATTCACACTTTAATTTCACTTTTACTTGTAGTATTACGCAGTGGCAAATATAAGATCTTTCTTTTTGGAAGGGGGAGCAACATTTTGTATATTAATTTTTAACAATAAACTCTAAATATAAAACACAGATAAGATTACAATATAAGATATAAGTACCTATATTATCGACTATCGTAATAATTGGTCTAACCGCAATTTGAACGACGATTCAATTTAATCATTATTTAGTCATATTATTACAACTACAAATATAACTGTCAAGGGGGGCTTGAGCCTAGGTGGTCAGATGCAATAGAAAGATATCTTCAGAACCTAGGAATGCAAGGTCGGAAGACAGTGATTTGATACCAGGAGTTATGGAGGGATGTTGTGATGGCGACGGAGAGTTACAAATGCTATTGATGATGGTTATGATATTTAAATGTGTTGTATAATAAAGTCGAAATTATACTATTGCGTGAATTGTAATTCATTTAAACAAAGAAATAATTGGTATTACCGACATGTTATTATAGTATACGAAATCGTGATTATTTAATACGTCTAATATTTTTATAATGATAATAATTGATTCAAAATAATAATAATAATTTTTTTACCGACAAATTGTTGCGTATTGATTTGTTTCCACTGTAACTAATGCTACCTACTGATTCGTTAATGTCCAACAACAATAATCGAAGATTTCTCTGTATATATTTACAATAAATAAATTCATTGTTTGAGCTATTTGTGGCACCTGCCTGTATTATAGACGCATGTGTGTAGTCAGATAAAAACAATAGATAAGCTTACCAACAACAATGTGCTATTGTATTTACTCTGGTAAATTGTTTTACCTAACCAACCTTTGAGGGGGAGGGAGAGGGATGACGTGCAACTATAGGTAGGTACATCATAAAACCGGGTTAATCCGGAATTACAAGTATTTAGCTTCGCAGTTAAATACTTACTAGTAATGCAATCGAAAATGAAATATTGTATGTTCCCAGTATTCTGCAGTAATTTGTAATTAATCCGAAAAAGAATATAATAATTATTGTACGTTTTGGTAAAAAATATTTTGATTATCAATGGATAATGAAACATAATCCATAATGGCATTGTTTTAAACATTATTCCAATAGGTTGGAGTGTTTCATATTGTTTTGAAGAATCGATAAACTATTTTGTTTGTCCTGTATATTTAATTGTCGTTATATTAATTAAGATAGGAGAAATAATTTAAATATTTTCTGGAGTATAAAATTATGATATTCGTACTCAGTGCATCAAATAAAACTAATTGAACTAATTGTTGTTATTATTAATTTTTTTTTTTGTAACAAATTGATGTTTTTATGGTTTCTAAAGAATTAATCAGTCTTCAAAATAATCAAAAATATTATTTTACGCAAAAATTTCAAACGAACAGATATGTAACACCATTTTCACCGTTTAAGTATCCCGGTGATTGTTGGTATTCAAAATGGAAAAATAGCGTGTCACATAATCTTAGAATAGGATGTTTTATTATACCTATAGAAAACTATTTTTTTTTTTTAGATTTTATGATTATCTTAAAAACCAATATTTTTGAATACAACTATTTAGAAATAATAAATCACTCTTTTTAAAAAAAAAATTGTTTATATTATGATATGTTAACTACGAATATTATATCAGATATTATGATTTTTAGCTACTCTTTACATTATTTTATTATACTTAATGTTATGAGCTCGTATTCGGTTTAAATAATGAATTAAATTTATTAGCATAATATATTTTATTTAAGTCAATAGAAAATCGTACGCTAGAGGTTTTTTTGGGGTGGGTTTCATTTTGGTTGTATAAAAATTCCACTTTTTGTAACAACTATATTGTTATGTTTATTAATTTTCATTACATCATTTTTTTACTACTTGTCTACGCTTACACGTCAACGATACACTCACGTGATCAAGTATAAATTTGAATTGTTCTTTTTATTTTATTGTTTGTTTTGCGAAGGATATCATAATTATGTTTATCTTTGAATTGGATTTATTTAATTTTTTTTTTTTTATATAGTTTATGTATAATGGCCCGTTTTGTATTTCACAACGATAATTTTATTTACTCGAACCGCAACCCCGTTATTTATTTAAATCATTCGGTGGGTGATCATCAATGGTGTTACTACCAATATGCTATTGGTATTTTTTATATTACACGCCATTTTACGAATGTATAATAATATTATATTTAGGACTACGTATTTGAAGCAAATTCTTTTTTTTTTCTTATTGTATGACAGGCATATTTTTAGCACAAACTTTGAATGGTTTATAAAGTAAACTCAATTTTGAAGTTTAAATTTTATTTTTTTTTCCTTTTGATGTATTGTTTCGGCTCTTAATGTATTTTATGGTTTATACGCTTACTTCCTAACTTTCAATAGTTTTATATGGTCTTTATAGCTATTTTTTTGTGGAAAATTAAGTTCTTATTTTAAAAATTATTTTTAGTAAATAATATCTAATTATAATATTATATTAAATATTATTGGCGGTAAAGTGGCTCATTCAAAAATAGTCAATACCATACCTGAAACAACGCGGTTATATATTGTGTAATCATTGAATAGTATGCGCACGTTGAATTCAAAATCCTCGGGAACGTATGAAATGTTGGTGCAAATCCGCTGTCGAAAGTTAAGATTAAAGTTTTCCAAAAGGTTTCCACTACAACAACTGCACTGGCTCTCTTCACATTTGCACGGATACGTAATCGCTCTCGGCTCTGGAAACGCATACAAATTATACCCTTATACCCTTACGTTTATATTAAGATTTCAAAACCGATATCGCACACAGAGTGGAACAGCGTTAAAAAATCTGATTTAAGCATAGGTAAATAGGTGCGCTTAATTGTAATTTTCTGTATAAAATGGTTAGTAGAAATATCCAAAAAAACAAGGCCTTTTAAAAATATATATGTCTACGCGTACCGAAATATACAATTTTCCAATGTACAAAACGTTAAATATAGACTATTATACAATATGTTCGTAACATTATAATTATCGTCCGAAAACATTATAAAGATATCTAAAAAAAAAGTCTGCCATCTAGATGTAACTTGGACATTAAATTATTAAATTTCATAGTATAAGATCGTCCTAAAATAAGTTGTAAGTATATGCATTTTCAAAATTAAAGAGTCCCAGTACAAGAACTAGGTGTTCGCAAATTTTGAAATTGTTTTGGAGGCACACAAATCTAATGGAGATACCAGATTCTTGCATTAACCTCTGTACACCGGACTTTTTTTTCATCCATTTGTATGATATTAGGTTATCTAACGTACGGGTACATAATTATTGTACTGAACCGGAGACAAGATTATTTTTTATCGGAAAATGGAAAAACGCGAATTTTGAAATAAAAAGGAAATACCCACAAGGTTCTTGCACCGTACCGTTCAATTAGTGAATACATATGTGTGTGTGTGTGTGTGTGTGTGAGAGAGGGTGTAGTGAATATAATTTTAAAATTGAACTTGACGACTTACCCGACGATAAATCCGCGTGATTATTACCGTTGCTGTTGTCTGCCACGTATTCGGCCGACGACGACGATGATGACGACGCCGGGCCCGGACCGACGATCTGCAGGGCCAAGCAAAAACCGATCAAACGGACAGTGATCATGCTGACTAGTGAATGCCGTCGTCGTAGAGCCGTCGATCGATGAAATACTCTCGTCGTGACGTTGTCGGCGTGGCGCGACTCGGGAGAGGAAAAAGTTTAAGTTTCACCTGTAGGCGGGCAACACAATAATATTGCTATTATCACTTTTTAGGCGCCGGCAGTGGTTACGTTATATTTTTCGTTCGTTGGATTTCACCGTCTCTTTAACACGCATCGGATATGCCCGCGTATAGGTAAATAGTTATTATAAGAATATGCCGACCGTCCGGAATTGTCCGTATATTTATTCGATCGATGACTGGTGGTCGGGACCCCCCGTAAGACTGGACTCCGAGTTTTTTTTTTTTTTTTTTTAATATACCTATATACATTTATATACAAACGTGTTATTGTAGTCTTTTTTGTATAGACCGAACGAATATATTGTTATTATATTATGTTAAGTGTTTTATCGAAATGTGTACGAGTATCTATATATTGTGTGGACGACTATTAGGTATTTTTTAGAATAGACGCCGAATAGATACGACACTGAACCGTCGCAGTTTCTATATTAATATTATACGTTTGTATAAACGTATAATAATACTTACCGCGGTGGCGACGATAGGACTGCTAAAACGGTGTAGATAATAAATTCACACTTTCGTGTGATGCGCGTTTCTACGAGTAAATTAAAAAATCGAATTCGACGAAATAGACACCGTCGTAACACTATTGTAATCGAATTTCACGGAAATACCAGTTTTCGAATAAATAAGCCGGACACACATAGCGCCATCGCGGGTATTGGGTTGGTCACCAATGACTGTTGTAGACGGGAAGTTGCGGGGGGGGGGTTGATTAAGTTTATTTTATTGAAAACATCGATAGACCATTGATATTAAAAACGCGTCTGAGTCAGGGCTTGATTAACCAATAGGCTGAAAAGGATGCAGCCTAGGGCGCGGTTTAATGGTACAACAAAACATTTTTTTTTTTTTAAACCGATTTTTATCATATAATTTTATCTAATAAATCTCGTATAGGAATGTACAAAACGAACGTAGTCTTTATAGGTTTATTATTTTGTTAGTCGCATTTAGTATGATCGATATATTATCACTATGAACATAATCGCGTATATACTCGATTTGAGACAATTTTGATGATTTGTGAGTTATATGATAAAAATAAATGGGTATATAATATTCAGAGTGAATTTCAAAATTCTTTTATAACCGTATTTAGAGTACACATACAGGTGGTTTAATATATGTAAGTAGCATATGATTGCTGTTTATAACCGGAAATAAATTATATTAAACTCCAATTTATCAGTATTAAACATAATCTCAAAAATTATGTACTATTATATCATGTAAACCTAATGCTAACCAACCGAATATGTTTTCATAATTAATACTTGACACGTCTAGATTTAATATTTTAATCGTTTTATCGTGTTTGAAAGTTATTTTAAAATATTATTCTTCTACGTGCTGCGAACGCAGGACAATGAATCAATGAATACATATTTTATTCATAACGGAGAATTCGAGAACGAAACAATTATTGTATTGAATTAACAGGAGATAATATCAACAAGTCCGTTAATAGAATTATAGTAATAACGCGTGCATTTCTATTTTGGTTTATAAGTTTCTTATGTTTTTTTTTTTTTTAATGATTTTATTTTTAATTTTGTATAAATATAATATAAAAGGTAACTTACCAAAAAAAAAAAAAAAAACCCGAGTTAAAATACATTACTTTATTATTGGTACCCATTTATAATATATTTATATAAAAAAAAATATTGATGGTACCTGTAGTTCTAACTGAACTCATTTCAAATTACTCGTCCCTACGCGTTATAGTTACATTTGTTTTTAATGAAAATGAAAATAAACCTCAAAATATGAATACGTAAACGATCGTTTTTGTGAATAAATAAACAATGTAGTCGATTGGATCCCAAATTAAATAATATTGTATTTAAATATACAACAACACATTGATGAACCTACGTATTTATAATTAATATGAAAAATAACGTATGTTCAGGGACGGCACACGTATAATCATATCGTTCATAACTACGAACCTGTTGTAAAATTGATAAACAAAAGACACGTTGTTTTCACAAAAGTGAAATAATAATATTATCACCGTTATAATAGGTGCCTACCTACTATATAGTTTCGTTACTTTTGGTTAGTTTCCAAAGAACGTTGTACGGCCGAGCTACTATATATATAAGGTTATCTTTAAATTGTTTTAATTTACCTACCTCTCAAAACTTATTCTTTTGAAACTACTGCAAGCGTAAAAATTACTTGGCCCGAGTTTGTTTGCTAACTTTGTTTACACACAGTGAACATTCATTCTGAACAATTCATTTTACTTTGCGTATCATCATTTTTAATTTTTTTTACTGACATTTTATTTCAAAGAGAATTAAATTATTATAGATGAGTACTTGTAGTGTAGGGAAGAAACTGTTAGTTTTGCAAAGATGTGTTTTATTCTTCTTGAAAAATATTTTTCGGTAAAAGAAAGAATGCACTCATTTTTTCGTACCTACCTTAAAAGATGTCGATTTTTCGTTTGATGGTACTATATATTTTAATAAAAACATCTATTCAATCCTTTTTCTGGGAAATTACTTAAAAAAAAAAAAATAATTTTTTTTGGTGAATGTAAAGTGATTCAAATTTTATACGTCGTATCTTAAAACATGTAAATTGTTTGTATTTTGTTAACGATAGTTTGTTTTTTAGATTCCTCAGTTCCCGAACATCATTACTCTACAGTAATACAGAATCATTGAGAAGAAAAACCTGTGCACTTTTCCTCCAAAAGTTGTTTTTAATCGTGCCAAATAAACAGTATTTACAGAAACTATATTAAATTATGCATAGTTTCGTATAATAACAATAAATTAAATTAATTTAGAATATTAATATCGTGCTAGTGCTTTTTTTAACCTGCATTTTATTATTAGTGTTACCTACATGGCTAAATGTTTATTTGTGATAGAAAATTACAGTTATCGGATTGAAAAAAAAAAAAATGATTTCAGGAAAGAACATAATTATATATATATATTTTTTTTTTGGATTTATTGTTTAGATGATTAGAATTGAACATTATTCTTAAGCAAAATATAATTAAAACAATTTGTACGTAATGACTAACGATATTTTTTGTTGATACCTGTGAGTGTTGATACGCGAATTACTATTTACAGACAGTTCGTTTTATTTATTGACGGTTGGACGGTCTTACCAATTTTATTTACTCGATTTTAGTTTAAAACCTTAAATATTTATCCAATTACCGATAAACTATTATTGGTCCAATATTCGATAAAACACTGATATTGCATTGAAGTATGACTATAAGACAATTTTCAGAATAATTTCGTTATAAAAGGAACAGATACAGTTACACGTTACATGTTACATTAAAATAAACGTACTTGTATAATAATTAAGAAATCGTAGGGACAAAAATTATAATAATAGACAGTCTGTTTTGGTAAATTATTCGTATGCTGCTGAGTAAAAAAATTCGTCTGATAAAGGCAAGTATAACAAACGTTGAAATAGCATCTTTCTTTTTCAAAAAAAAAAAAAAAAATCGAAATTTAAAAAATAAATAATTATGCAAAAAACGTAATCTGGTTTTGTCACTGGTTGGCATACAAGATTCAAGATTTATTATTATTTAAAATGTATTGAATGAAAAAAATATTGGTTTTTAGAAAATATTAAAAATGCATAATATATGTATGCAAATCAATGAATATCGATGAAATATGCACTTTCCCTAAAATTGACGAAATATTCAAAATCTGCATCTTAAATGGTCGATTTTTAAACTCTTCATTGTGTAGAATGGATTTCTATCTTGGTCTATACCATCATCAAGAGCATACAAAACAATATGCAATTCCTATAACTTCCGAACCCTACACATTAGTAATAAAACCCGCACTACCATAATATAATCATATTATGTCTGTGAAGTATGGACAACCATCAGTGGAAGATTAAATCAGTGAAAATCAATGGCTTCATAAAAGTTAGAGAATATAATGACTATAACAAACACTGAGACATATAATGTATTGCAGTACAGCTATTATGAAGTATTGAATGGATGGAAGTTGTAGGTCGATAGAGCCCTAGAGGTGCGGAATTAAAAAGATATACTTAGTGCAAGGCCGATAAAAATTAAATGATTTGGTGATCGTGGCAAAAACTCTTGGAAAATAGTACAGGCCAATGAAAAGTGAAGAAAAAAAAATAAAGTTTGTTTATGAACATATTATAAATTTTATTGTAGTAATATTACTTTTTTACGAAAAAAAAAAGTGGTAATAATATAGTGTTAAATAGAACAACTGTGGATGTATTTTTTTTTTTTACGTGTTGCGTTTATAATTATATCGTTAACATTTTAATTAAACACTGCTAGAAGCAAGTTTTAATAATTGACTGTTAATTTGTAGGTATACAATATCATCAAACAACAAAGGTCCTTTATTATAACGGAAATTGAATGTGAATCAATATTACTGTGTATATTTACCTATAGTAAAAACTCATAATGGGAAATAAGTTTGTTCATCTTAATAGTTATTAAACTAATTTGAGGTGTATTTCCAAGGTTTCCGGTTGGAAATTGCATGTTATCAAAAAATTGTACTCGTGTTTAAACATTTTATGAAAAAATATTGTTTATAACCTTTTTTTTTCTTTTTCTCCCTGCTCCGATCTAGTATCACTATCCTCATTAGGCGTAAGTAGAGGGCTTACATAATACGAAAGTGACTAACTCTTTGTAATAAGTAGGGAACGGATTTATATGTACATACAAAAAAGCGCTTAAAAACGTCATAAAAGCCCTAAAAAATCACTTAAAAAAATATTTAAAAGAACAGTTAAGGTAGAGGACTTTAAAAGGTTCCCCGTTTATTGTTTTTGAATTATTAAAAATAATTTTTAACATAAAAAAACGATTATTACAAAGTAATTTCTCAAATATATTTGTACGTATTCGAAAAAGACAACAATGCTTGGTGTTAATCATTTGTCAGTATTAGAAAATTGTATTTACTAGGGTTAGAACCGTTAGAGTAGATACTTCAAAACCCTTTTACGACTGTTGATTTTTTAAAAAATTATTAAGTGCTTTTTACAGATTTTAAGTAAATATAAATCCGTTCCCTAGTTATAAGCAACTCCATTTTGTGACTTTTTCAATGTTTCACCAAGTAAATGCTTATTACTTGTATCCCACTTCGACAATAATATATTGAGACATTGCGAAATATTTCTTTCTACGAAACACTGATAAGATCAGTTGTATACTTTCTTCAGTGATTAAACTGACGAAAATTCGAAAGGGATATATTTACCAGAAATTGAGGGGTGTTTCCGAGAACTATCTAAACCTAACCAAACTTTGTGAAAGCTCATTATGGAGACAAGACTTCTAAAAAGTTTTTTTCTCACGTACATTGTTCATAAACATTTTATAATAACAGATTTTAAAAATAAACTTCACCCTCTCAAAAATTATCCAACGCGCATGCTTAATCAGTAAAAATATAGTAAAATATATACTGATTATGCATAATTAAATAAGTGTAAGAGAATTTATTTTTAATAAAAAAAATTAGACAAAAAATGTCATTAAATATGTCTCAGTGACAATATTTATTAAAGTATCTTCTCGCAATTCGTTGACTTACTGGTATACTAAAGGTGATTGGTAATTTTAACTTAGGTAAAAAGAAGTACTTCGTCTCCTCCTTCTTATTCCCACTTAATCTACTGACTTGATAAATTTCGGTTGTTACTCTGGGTCCGTTGACTTGATCATCTGTTGTGTGGATTCGATTTTTATTAATTACGATAATTAATAAAATTAATATTAATATTAACGATAATTAATTAATTTTCTCCAGTTGGCCGGAATGGCTGCTAATGACTGTTGGTATTTTTCGGCCTCTGCGTATACGTCTATCAGTGGCGCAAACAAGATTTTTTTAAGTGGGGTTTCACATGTCTAAATTTTAAAAAAACACATTTTTCAACATATTTATACTACTTAAACACGAATGTAGGGGGTGTCCAGACATCCAAAACACCTCCCCTGGTTGTGCCATTTACGTCTATATTTTTAAGTATATATAGTATTTGCAATATGGGACCTTTATAGTCGAATTATAATTCTTGACCTCATTTAACCTAATTTTAATCTATCCTAAACGTTCTTAAATAAATATCTTAATAATGATTCCCCACCTGCCATATTCATCAAATTCGTTACGATTAATGCAATCGTATATTGGTACTTTGACGTATTAAGTTATTAGATACTTATGCATATTAGTAATATGAAATATTTGCAAAGTTTCTCGTTTCGTGTAAAAGCGGTTTAAACTCGTCTTTGATAAATTACTTTATTGCAGCCACCTCGAATCGATGACTAATATTAGTTCAAGTGTATGATTAATATTTTTTAAACCACGTTCTCATAACTTCTTAGTAACTTCAGGTTTCTAGAGTTATTGATAAACTATTATGGTGACAATCAATAAAATAGTGAAATTTGTAAGCATTAATTAATGTTATAGTCATAAATAAATTAACAAAAATAAATTTTGAAGAATAATCTTGGACTGTCTACTTTAATTTCTCTTATAGTTTAAATTACAACATTTTATATACATTTATTAGTATGCTAGTTATATCATATTTTCACATATTTATAGAATGTTAGAACAGCTCAACAAGTTTGGCCCCAATCATATTTATTCTTAAATTATTATGTGTTAACGATGTACTTTCTGTTTTAATGTACTTACTGTTATCAAAATTATTATATTCATCACATGTACTTATTTTGTACTCATTATCTCAAAAAGTATTAAATTGTTCGGAATTTGTTTTCTATAAAATTCAAGAAACAAGCAGTTCTACAATTTTATATTTATGTTGTTTTTTTGTCACCTTTAATTTTGGGGGTAAAACCACTACTTACTTTTGATTTTAAAATGGCAATCTATATTAAAAAGTCCATAAATAGGAGTATTAGTTAAAATAAATAAAACACGCCGCGCACCGTACCGCAACACAAATGATACGCCACTACTCTCCTCCAATCTAAAATTAAAAGTGGAAAATCTCGTAAACGACTTTACAGAAATTTAAAATTTCAACACTATAATTTATTTTAATTAATACTTCTTCTATTTATGGACTTTTTAATATAAATCGCCATTTAAAAATCAAAAATAGGTAGTGGTTTTACTCCCAAAAATAAGGGTGGTAAAAAATAATATAAATATAAAATTGTAAAAGAGCTTGTTTCTAAAATGTTTTAGAAAACAAATTCCGGAAAAATTTAATACTTTTCGGGATAATGAGTGTCCCCACTTAAATGGATCACCCGGTACATATAGTAACTATGTAAAGTATACATATATATATATATTAAAAATGTATACGTATTTTTTTAATGTTTATACAATATAAGTACAATTACTTACAAAGCAATTTTAAAGTTGTATACATTTTTATAAATATTTCAGAGATTAGCCTATAATTTATAGTAATCCGCCGTCGTTTATTCGATCGTTTACAAAAAGTTTTAATATTAATACAAATTATAGTATTTTTTTTAACCAATATTGTAGATAATCGTAGGTACAGAAACATGATAAAAGAATAACCCTATATAATAGTACTAATGACGGGCAGGTGTGATACAATATTGTATGTAAGTATTAATAGTATACATTTGTAATAGTTTGTTGAATTTCCAAAGTTCTTCTGTTATGAGTGCGGGATTAAAACTAAAATGTTTATTTGTTAGTAGCTGTTTTCACTGTGTGTACTTTTAGTTTTTTTTTTATAATTCGACTTGTTTTTCAAAGTTTTACCGGACTTCTTTAAAAGAAATTCCGATTGAAACGCATAGTTCCCATGGAACTATTGTACCTATATTTGCAGGTACGTTTTATCCGGAGATAATAATAATGGACTGTCGAAATCGTATAGATTCAATTGAATGTTCACCATTAGCAGAATCCGAGGTGTTTTTATGTACTTTTTTTTTTCTGTAAGGTTTTGTTGACTACATCAACTTGGCGAAATGCCCTGTAACTGTATTTAAAAGTAACGTAAAAAACCTTAATAACCCAAATAAAACTTGTGAAAGTGATTTGGCAGACGTCCAGTATGGATTTTACAAAGGGACACGCGTGTAGTGTGTACTCAATTGAGTTCGTTAAGTATCTTATTATACTTATATTACACAATACCTCGTACAGTTCCGAAAATTAATTAGGTGTAATTAAATATTATCGGTCGTTGGATCGTTATTTTTTTCAATATTCCAGATGATATCGGTTAATATAAATGTTTAAAAAAAGAGGAGGGGGTTTTGAATAAAATTGAGTTTTAAAAAAAATAACGGTAGGTAACTGAATGATTTACAAAAATAAACGCAAATCATTTTAAATGTTTTACACAATCGCAAAATGTATGTATAACCAAACTGCACTCGGAATCGTCTTTCGTCAAGCAATGGTTTATCGTTTCTTACAGATATAAATGAAATAGCCTTTTTGTATCTTACCTTCCCAACTTCTCACCTATAATAGTGGCCGATCCCATCCCCAGTATCAGCTCTTTTTTACACGCGAAATTGCAATAATCCTATTGCATTTGCCAAGAAATATAAGAGCTGTCCTTTATTACCTTTTGCAAATACAAAACGAATGCTCACCAAGTACAAATTAAACTAATTTCTTAATAATAATCGTGATTGTTTTATATGTACCCAGTTTCTTTTTCTTCGTGAGTTTATTGGGTCCTTAGGATCATCCCCTCTTACCGACAAGCCACCATCCCAGATAGCATATCCGTAATGATAATATATATTGATATAAATTTTTTATACAAAAAAAAAAAAAAAATAGTTAAATAAATAAATATTGATAGTGTATCAAATACATTTTTTGTAAAGTAATAATGTGAATATATATTTAATAAGACATCGTAAATGAAATATGTATAGAATATTCTGAATATATTAGTAATATCACATCAGAAATAATAAAATAAAATTCTGAATATATGATCATAATATTGTTACAAGTCTACACAATTATAATACGGTTCAAAAATAATTCTACGTTTCTATGTGATATTCTACCATAGACATGATAATAATATATAATAGTACAGATATATATTTTCTGCGCTGGAACCCAGCAGTTTATTACCGGGTTTGTTTCGATGCATGTTTGCCCGCAGCTGCATAAACAATCGATACAATATTAGCGTTTTCCGAGTATAGACCCAACCGTTACTAACGACCGATTGATTATGCGTCTCAGAAATCACCAAATTGGAAAAAATTTTAATATAAACAAATATTATTACGATCAAAAGTATGCCAAGATCACAAAGGGCCGACCGAGATTTATTTGTCATCTCCATACATAACTGTAATCCATAGTTGGCAGTTGAATTAAATTTTTATTATTAATGTACTTGGTCATTACATTATATAATATAGTACCGTAGTCAACTTTTTTTTTTTTTGGGAAGGGGGCACTTGTCAATTCTATGCAAGTTACTATATTTTGATGAACGATAAAATACACCGAAATAACTAATAAACAAAACAAAAGAGGCACGTCCCCCACCACCCTCTTCACCCCCCTGACACTGTTGTGTACTATTCAGAGGAGGTTAAAGTTCCTGTTCCCAAAAAGTCCGCAATTTCGAGATGTCAATGTATAGATAGGTACCTATATTATAATATTTTGAAATGTATTTATATAATCATAAAATCAACTTCTTAATAATTAGGTAGGTAGTTTAGTGAATGGGGCGTTAGGATTGATAAGACAGAATCTCGGGTTCAATACCCGACTGTGGCAAGTTAGGAGAATCCGTTTTTTCGAATGTTTGAATTTTTAAAATATTTAATAAACGAAAATCTCGTGGCCATCCGTTATTTTATAAATATTATTTAAATGAAAAATATGAAAAAATAAAACGTTTCATAAATCTTTTTATTATAAAAATAATATTTGATAAATCTTAATAAAATCTGCAGAAGCCTACACATAACCAAGGTGCTATATTTGGTTATCGGAGTATGCTTTCTTGTAGAAAAATTGTTCACTTTTTCTGAAAGTGAAAAAAAATAAACATCGTCATTGTAAAACTAATACATACTCGTTCCATTCAGAATTTAAAAAATAAAATATACTAAATTTGTATTGATAAAATATTTTAAAAAATAAGTACCGTGCTAGTTTAGAGTCTCAATTTTAAGTAAAACAATAGTTATATCGAAACATTTTATCAATGATGTTAGTATTACGGAAACTGGTAATTTGTTTCAATCATAATAGTTTCATTATCAATGCAATATCCGAAGTATCAAATACCGAGTTGTGTTACGTAAATATAACGACACGGTTCTAATGAACGATCTGTAAAAATGAATAAGAAAAAACAGAATAGAACAGTTATTTGTACGCACATGTATTTTCAACAGTAATATACCCATAAATAAATTGGAATTTTACAAAGACTGGAGGACAGAATATCTAAACTAAATAATACGACGGGATTACACGAAACAGTGTTCGTGCGGAATGTTGAACACGCACTGAACTAGCAGGATAATTGTAACAGACAAAAAAAAACGTTCCACATCACTACAAGACCGCGAAAACGATCTAGATAACAATAGAAATAAAATAGGCATTAAGCGAACAGTGGGACATCACAAAGAAGAAGTTGGCCACCGAATTTAAAAGAAAGAATCACTACGCTGTGCAAAAATAATGATTGGGCCTTATAGAGGATATTGTGTAAGATTTTATAATAAGATAAGGGGAACACAATTAAAATATATATGAGGACATGGCCACATGGGTGCACTCCCGGTATTTAAAGGATTGCGTAGATGGAATTTTTACGACTTTAGAAAATCAAATGAACATTTATCAATTTGAAAATATTTAAATTCACTTAAAGATAAATTTAGAAATTGTGTCTTGCCATTAGTCGTTATCGTTTGTATTTCTTGTGTTGTCGTGAAATTTGATCGTAAACGTATTCACGCAAAGTAGAAAAATTATCCTTTATGATGATTTCAGAATAAAACACCTAGGTATAATAAAATAGATTTAGCAAAGAACTGTTACCATAGGAACATCATAATATGTGTTTTGCATTAGACATTTTGTCTCTAAAATCGTTCAAAAACGTGCTTTAATTTCTTTTACGTATATGACACACAATGTGGAACTATAAACCAGTTGGTAATCCGGGAAAAACGTAGCAAAACCGGATAGTTACGGCATTATTGCAATCAATTATTTTTGATTTTGTTTTTTTCATTACAAATCGATTAAAAATAATCGTAGAAAGCTGATATTTTCACTGAATACTTTGAGCATTTGACATTTTCGAGTTTCTTCAGTTTTTATTTGGTATTATGTAGATAAAATAGTTTGGAAAAATAAAAATAATTGAAAGTTCATTATAACCTATACGCGTAAAAAAATAGTTGAGTAGTTATTATTATTTTTTTACAAAACGTTCAAGTTCAAACTTTTTCAAAAATCATAAAAATTACATTTCAAAATACGATTAACTGAAATTCGCTGAGAAGCGTTCTTTGCTAGGCATAGTTTTTTATTGCATTTATATTTACAGCTTAAAAATTATTTTTCTAGACCGATAAAGATTGATATGAGACTGTGCAACATTCTCGATCGTTCAATAGCCAGGTTAGTACGTAATAAAATTTAGATAATATTATGTAATATAAACTTACATTTCGCTAACTACCTGCTTGCATACCTTGATAATCACATTCAATATTATTTGAATATAAATTTTATTAAATTATTATACATTTATAACAAGTATATCTAATATTTACACACTTGAATAGTTAACGACAAAAAAAAAGGCTCATACTGGGGACGGGTGCAGCCACTGTTGTAGGTGAGAAGTTGGGAAGGTAGAATACGTCCTAATATTATTTAATTGATACATTAAGCAACGATAATCAATTGCTGACGAAAGACGATTCCGAGCGCAGTTCGGTAATACATAATTTAAAGTGCCGTAATCTTTTTCGCGACTTTCGTTTAAATTTGATTTCAAAAAGCTTATTAAAATACAAGATTCAACAAAAATATGGTCTCTTGTCGTTATTCAATCGGAGCCATATTTCTGCTAGAAAACGTGATGGTAACTTATTTAAAATAACGAAATTGTGAAAAAATCATATTTTTTTCCCGGTTAATCGTTTTCATTTTAAATACCGTTTCGAAAATCAAAAAAATGACCTATGCATTTACCAAGTAGACAAAATTGACTTACAGAAAAATGACACTAAAATTATTTGTAAAAGTAACTCCAAAGTTTTATATTGTTTCAGTTTAATTTTTGTAAATGATATTATTTATACTTATATTATACAAGTAGGATAGGTATACCAGATGCCTGAGCAAATTATGTTCGTAAAACTCATTTTGAATTCTGAGTGAAGAGAAAACACTATTAGTTTCAAAATGATGAACGTTTCACGTTTTTCGGATAAATTTTATGTTTGAGAATGTACTTGTGTCACATATTCAATAACGTTTAGAGGAATTATTATTGTTTTAGACGGAAACCAATATTATTTATCTCGTTTAAGCGTAACGTTAATCATTTCCATACAGCAATACTTTTTTTTGTCAATTCTTTATGCCTTATTTAATAAAATTCAGAATAAACGAAAAAACACATGCATTTTAAATAGGAAACTACCTCGTTATAGTGGGTCGACTTTAAGAAGCTCAAATAGGATTTTATTTTCATTTTTTTTTTTTAAATAAAGTTATGGGACGTCAAAAATTCAGTCACTACCCAAATTAAAAAAGATGATGACTTGTTGTTCCAAAAAAAAATATTTACCCAATAAACTTGTTTTGTGAAAAACTAAAAACAGATTTTGTTTGTATATGATACGTGATATTTTAAGATAGCCATTCTGTAAAGATTATTTTTCTGAAAATTTTAATGTATCACAAATTTATATCCAATGAATAGTTTCTAAGTAACAGCCGTTTTAAAATTCTACTAATCCGTGTGAAAACCAATGTCAACATACATTAAGGTTAATACGGTTAGGTTATTCCCTAGATAAAATCGGTTTTCACTCGGATTAGTAGAATTTTAAAACGGCTGTTACTTAGAAACTATTCATTGGATATAAATTTGTGATACATTAAAATTTTCAGAAAAATAATCTTTAGAGATTGGATATCTTAACATTTTCCGAAAATATAAAATAAAAAGTTATTTTTTTAATTTTTCAATAAAAAAAAAAATATAATAATTAATTCAAATATAATTATTTGTAGTCCTCTTCCATGTGAATAATTTACCAAAAACAGAATATCTTCGTGGTATAACAACCTGTATACATTGCGAAATAATGAGTGTTTAACGATAAAAGAATCGCCCTGTATAGTTAAATTTTTAATTTTATAGCTAATGCCTTTGAAATCTTTTGTCATTTAAATAATATATTTGGCTTACGTGTGTGTTGATGAAAGTCAATATATTATTAAAAGCAGTTGGTGTGTAGCACAATTTGTAATACAAAAAAAAAAAAAAACTTTTTTTTCTGAAGGTCGTAAGTACGTGTACTATCTTATTTTTTCCTTTTAACAGATCTTATATAAAAAAAAAAAAATAATAATAATAATAATAATACAAAATTACAGACCAAAAAGTCTCTAGGAATAAATAAAGTATAGTCCATTTACCTTCGCTTTTTTTTTCGAACTCTTTAATGTTTTTTTTTTTCTTTTTTTCGTAATAATCTCGGGTTTGAAAATATAAATGCAATCATTAATATGACATTTGCAACTATATACATAATTCCATTCCGCATATTTTATCTTTGAAAAACATTCGCCTGCACACAATAAATGAAAAAAAAAAAACGCAACGGGGGGGAAACTTTCAAAGGGATTTCCATACGATTCCGGTTTTAAAATATCCTCATTAACGAGTTTTCTACTCGAGAAAAACGGCTTAGTCAAACAGGCAAAAGCGAGTTAAATATTTTAAATACTACAAGAAAATAATACACAGGTTGGTAAATGTATATTTATGTGTACCTATACTGCTGCTGCAGCAGGGGAAAGCCGTTGTTTGTGAATGTTTTTTAAAGCCGATATTTTTTTCATTTTTTTTTTTATGTATACTAGTGCGGACGGAAAACAATAAGTCAAAGGCTATACGTATTACGATTTTCGAACAAAATATTCGCATTAACGAGTATTATACAACATGATTATTATGCACACTATGTAGGTACTGCAGGGATCGGCGGGCAAATCCCACGGATTCAATTATATAGATATTATATTTTTTTAATGACTTGCTGTCGTGCGTGTGTAAAAAATGTATTGTGGAGATACTAAAAAGAATAGACACGGTGTTACCGAGGAAGATCTTCACGGCCTCGGTAAATATTTTCCAATTATACACCGATGTTATCCGACCGAATTAAAATTAATAAACGTACGTTAAAAATAATTTATGCCGTTGATTCAACGATACATTACTGAGTACATTATTATAGCTGTTCGGTTATTTATTTTCATGATCGATTTTTTTATTTATCACTTTTAAAATATAAAAATATAACAGTTATCGATTTTTTTATAGGTACCTATTACCAAGGCTGAATTACCAATTGACGAGTTGAAAAGTTAATTTCAACTTTTGACTTTCGATTTGTTGACCAATTCACCGCGTTTAATTAATTTAAATTTAATTGAATTTTAAGTTAATTTAAATAAGTTAATCTGAAAGACAATTAACTTTCCGTGCATTAACTTGATAATTTTTTTCCGATTTACTAATAATATTATTCGTTAACACGTCCAGACTTACCTATTGCTACCGCACATACCGACACACGAACGATATAGCTCGTTAAAAATATATAACAGCTTTTTCAAATTAATGTTCGGCTGTATCTAAATTGAATACTGTATTCGATTCACACGCAGAACGCGCGTATATATATTATGGTCCGTATATTTAACATTTTAACCTCTAAAATGGTCCGATCTACCCCTCTTGTGATAGGAGTACCGTTATTGAATATCGTACGGCCACACACAAGTGAATTAAAGATTTACTAGCAATATGTTTGCTTTCACGTTACCCTCCGCGGATATACCGACGTTTGCTCCGTGCTCAAAAATCGAAAGGCTTCCGATAGCTCTACTATATAGTGACGAACACACGCACGTATACAGCCAAGTGATGTTGAACCATTTTTCTTCGGAGTCCGTTTCCACCCTTCCCGTTTTCCTTACCTGGCCGTTTTATGCATTTCAAGTAGAATCGATACGAACAGTATACGAGTATATCTAATCTATTCGTGATACATACATGGCTATCTAAGGCAATGGTTTTATTTTATAGCGTGCGTATTATATTATAATATGTACCAGTTGCCAACGGAATTGGTTCGCAGTGGCGGATCCAGGAGGGAACGATAAAGTCATTTGCGCCCCCGCCCCAACACGGCAGTATAGTATGCTTTTGTCTTGCATTGTGATAAAATATATACCGAGGTTTTTTTTCTGTAAATGGTTTCAACCCTCTTCCCCAAAATTAAGGTGTGGATCCAACGCTGTTGAATCTTCGACATATTAGGTAAGGTCGTATTGCACTTATGTTAGCCGAATTACACTTAATCGAGATCAACAAATGTAACTGTCGAAGTACAACTGAACCAAGAAAACCGTTTCAACAAGAATGTTTGAAAGAATAAAACTTGATTTAAATTATTGAAACGTATTGACATCCAGACATTTCCTTTCCACTTACTTGGCGTTGTTTAAAATGCGTGTCTGTATTATATTCGTATATAATTCAAAAGCAGTTTTTGAATTTATGAAATTATTATTGTTAGTTAATAAAATTGTTTTTTCATATAAATTATAAGAAATTGAATTTAAAAGGTCAAAAATACTACTACACTGTTTATGTATGAATTAGATGTGTTCAAACTGTAGTTAATGTGTAGTTTTTCTTATTTTAGTAGGCATGTGAAGCGATACAGTCTATTATTAACCGAAAAGAGTTTTTAAATACAGTTTCTTATAACAACTATAAAAAATAATTACGAATAACAATAACGGAATATCAGCTATTTCTTTGCAAATAGCCTAGATTTTTCACATTAAAACTAATTTCTTGAATAGCCGGCTACATAGTTGCGAATTTCGGTCAATAATTACGTAAGCAACTACATACACAAACTAATATCGGAATACCTGTTAGAAAATATGATAACATTTTAAACTCTGAGTAGAGCGAAAAAGCTTATGGTTTTACAAAGATGTTTATTTCGTTTTTTCAACAAAAAAAAAAAAAAAAAGGTTCTCAAATATTTGTTTTAACTAATAATATGGTTTTTGTGGGCCCCGGGAAATCGTCCGCCCTTGCCTTCCTTAATAATTCAGGTCTGGTACTCGGGTTATGCATGTGTCCTGCGTACGCCCTATGACACACAACTATTATAATACATAATATTATAAACACTATTCAAACGTAATACCGGTCTAGATTGGATTTTCGGTGTTCGGCAGACGGAGGTATTGTTTCACCTCGGGGCGCCGCGCACCGTCTTTCACGGCACAAAGGCGGTCCGCAGTGTTAATCGCTTTTGAATTTCGCCCTTTGAAATCCTTAAATCTTAGCCCGGTTTTTGTATACTGTCGGAAATTGAAGGGTTTATATTTTCGCTGCGCCGACGACGAGGGCGTTTTGTCCTTATAGGCGGGGGATAGCGGTAAATGGATGGAGGTGCGGACGCGATGTTATCACCTTTAAACGAATTCCTTTCGAAAAACCTCGACACCGCGGGATGGTGGTGCGATAGTGCTGCAGTGTATACTTACGTCGTCGTCGTCGCCGGAAAGATTATGAGATTTCCGGCCGACTTTAAGTACCTATACACAGCTACCGCGGCGACAAATAACAATATTTGATATTTACATATTTTAAGTACATTATAATATGGCGTATATGATAATGTTCTCTCGTATACGGACAAAACGGCAGCGGCTATATGCAGGGTGGTCATTTTTTGAATACGAACCATAGATTATCGATTATACGAACATTCGAGCAAGTTTTGTTTTCGGGGTCTTTTTTTTCGTTAAAAATAAAATAAAATATAAATTGACTCTTTTAGATTATGAGTGTAGCGTTAGAATGTATTGGTTTTAGAAAGATTTTTATTTTTTTTTTTGAAAAAAAAAAATTGCTTTTTGGGTACATCTAAAGACCCAAGCCATCACTCGCTCGGATTATTTTAATCGCAAAATACCCCTTGATTTGTTGTGCAAACTTTTCTACTAAAAATCTTGCTCCGATGTATCAAATGTAGCTTATTATCTGAAATTCTTGAAATTTTATCTCCATGGTAACTTGGGGAGGTCATTTTTTGATTTTTCAAGTGGTTTTCGTAATATCTGGGAACAATTGTGAAAAATGCAGAAAAATACGGGAAAATTTACGAAATATATTAGTAAAATATTATGAATTTTTTTTCTGTAAACAACTTTTCTACCAGCAATTTCGCTACAAAATGTAATAGTAGCACTTTTTCTAAAAAGAAATCTAACTAGAAATGTACTTAAGGAGATAATTTTTCGATTTTCTCAAGAGTTTTCTCAGCAAATGTGAAAAACCAGGATAAACATGGGAAAACCAAGAAAATCGAGAAAATCTCCACAATATTAAACCTAAAAAATATTGTAGTAGAAAATATGTAATGACACATAATAATGAACAGCGCACCAATGAGTAGCTTAATTCCGGACAGCATTTTTCAAGAAATATATAAAAACGCAAACTTGCACAAGTCACCGTCATCATTTCGTGATAATACTGTTTCGACGTAAGACCATTTTGTTGTTAGATAAAAACCAACGTATACGTCACAAATTGTATGAGCTTCTTCTGAACATAATGATTTATAATTTCAGGAGTTTATATAATTTATTTACGATCTGGAGGTGTTAATGAGTAATTTTTACTTGGCGATAGTGGATCTGGGGCCCTATTCTCGATTTCTTACAGTAAAGATTTAATAAATTATTTTCGACTAGATGTAAATGTTCTATCATAAATAGTTTTAATAATAGAATTACTTAGCCGTTAAACTAAAATTTTCGAAAACTTAAAATTCTTCACAAAATTCTTGCATTTAAAGAAAAAACGAAGATGTTTTACAAAAAAGACCATCGTATTATTCAAACAGGGAGAGCGTGAATACTTTCATCCATTTAAGTTAAAATATTTCTGATATTAAGTTAAAACTAGTTTCAAATTGAATAAAAAATGGAAGTCTACGTTAAAATTTAAAATTATATATATATATAGGAGGTATAATAATTAGAATTATATTTAATACGTAGTACTATTATCACAAAAAAAAAAAAAAATGCTGATTTAACCACCCCTTCCCTCGGATAAAATGATAATTATAATTATAAAGCTATATTTTACAATATTTTATGAACGATACTTTCTATTCTACTATAATAGTGTCAATAAATGCTCTGGAGTTCAGGATTTTGGTAACGACAGATAGTAAATATCACTAGGTATTTTATCGTATGCACTCGATAATAGATAAATGGAAATTAAATTTTCGGTAGATCAGTGATTTGGATGTTTTGAATGCTAAAAAACACGGTTTTGTGACTAACATTCCAGATTATATTTCCAATTTTTGTACAAGTATACGTTGTATACAGGCTAAAAATATTGAGGGTGAATATTCATAAAAATGTAATCTATAAAAAAAATAAAGTATATAGTCTTATAGTTACGGCTTCCGATTTTAATGAAGTATTTATCTTTTTTACTGAAACTGCTGCATAGAAAAACAATTTTGAACTACCACTGGCCATTACCCATGGGTACTTACCGCTGTTACGTATATAGTATACATGTCAATGTCATCGTTGAATAATTACCGTCGCCTTGTTACAATACTAATGATCGATCGTACCAACGACGTAATATTTCACATGCTGCGACCTTTTTCGTCGTTTCCCATCTATACGAGCGTATAAATCGGTCAGCCAAGTCGATTTTGGTGTCAAAAAACCACTATATAGATATAATATTATTCGTACAATAATAATGTATTGAAAATTTCTGGCGAGTTCGGTCAGTGGTGTTTTTTTTTAATGTTCTTGAAATCTCAGCGTCATTATATGGCCCACATCAATCCCATATATTTTGATTAAATGACGATCTCAAAAGGAAAAGAATAGAGCCAGCAGTATAATGCAGTGCATACGGTTATCTGTGGTGTTAAACACATTTCTGGCAAATGTTTGATATTAAAAGCAAACGGACATACTTCGCACGATAGGTGGGACACTGTTGTAGGTGTGAAGTTAGAAAGATAAAGAAGAAATTTAATGTATAACTGTACGCAACGATGATTTAAAATGATTTAAAAGACCGTAATATTTAAAATTTTCATCAAAATTTAATATTAAAATTCTTAAAATAAAAAAAAATTTTGTTTTTTTTTTGTTTACAGATTGTAAATTTAATTTTTTTTTGTCTTATAAAAAAAAAATTGTTAGTTAAATGTATTCATTTATCCTATCAATTATAATATGATGTCCATAGGCGCAACTAGGGGGTTCTAGGGGTTCTTTGCGCCCCCAAAATACCCAATCAGGTTTTTTATATTAGTGAATAAATATTTTATCCATAGTTAATGAGCAATAATAATTGTACTCGTGTATATATGTGTATATTTTATGAATGGGATTTTCCCGAAAGTTGGTGAAGCGCAAGAATTTTTGAACGTAAGAATTCATTGACCCGGGTCTCTTTTTTGGAAGAACAAACAGTGTGCCAATATGTAAAGGGCAACGACACATCACAATTTTCTCGATTATACGAAGGACCTGATCATCATATGACCGAATCCACTATTTTTGGTCAGGTATTTTTATCTTTTGAGTAATCAGGAATATTTGGAAAAGCCGTTTAAAAAGCAAAGATGCCCGAGTTCCCAATGGGTTCAGATTTCTCCTATTACAGTATGATGTCAAAGTCATACGCCTGTCCGAGATGACATTTAATTTAAATTTATCGGTAGCACGAAAAATAATATATTCTATTATTTTCCAATACTGCAATCGTATTCGGAATAGCTGACTGCTGAGTATAGAGTATATAGCAGCAAGACAGTTAGAAGAGTTGATATTACAAAAGCGTTCGAGCGTGCTCGAACGCTCGATAGTCGTTATGGTTTCGTATACAATATGTACTTGCCCCCCTCCCATCGGGCCAAGAGTATAGCGTGACGAACAGGATTTTGCGTATACTTTTTTATTTTATGTCTAGGCGTCGTGATTGAAATCGTTATAGATTCGGCGGGTAGCGACTATATAAACTCAAAGAATATATATTGTATACATGTATAGGTAGTGTTCTATTAACTTTGGCCCCTAGACGGGATTACCGGATGTGTAATAATATATAGCGCGCAGTGTCGTGCTAATAATAAAATATTGTTATGTTTACCACGGCTGCCATAAAAACGTGTAGGTAGGTACCTGTAATATGTGGTCGATATATTATACGGCTTTGATTGTGCCGCGGGCGACTGTTGAGTTTTAAGAGTTTCTATCGAATGCATCGGGTCCCAGTGAGAGTTTTATTTTACAACAGGCGCCTAATTGTTGTTACAGCAGACTATAGGTAATATGAAGTAAATTGTCGGTCCTATAAAAATCACATATTGCCGTACACATTCAAAGTCAATGACGACTCAAGCGGATGAACATATATGCGCGTCATTTCAAAAACTACTATCTATAAAATGGCAATAATTTCGAAAAAATTACAATTTTCAGACCCGATCCTTTACTTACGCTATAATATAAGACCTACGTCTGTGTAAGATTTTACTTTTCTACCTATAAGGGAAGTGCCTCATAATTTTGGGCAGATAGTAACAAAAATTCAAATTTTGAAATTATCCTCCATTGAAAAGGCATTTAATAGCTCATTTTTTTTTTTTGCAGTGTCCTAAGCTACTTAAGTTTAATTCATATTTTAAATTTCAAAGCCCATTTTAAGAAGAAATAGAGATTTGAAGGTGAGAACACTGACATAGGTACTTGCTGGAACTTGGATAACAAGAGGCGAATCTAAAGCTAATTTAAGGAAGGGACAAACTGAAACAAATTTTGGAAGTCCATTTATTTACAATATACTATTATACAAAATATACATGCAGTTAAATAAAATTAATTTACTTTTATATTATAATGTATATTATAAAATATGTAAATTTTTTTTGTGTTTGTGAATAATTTTTTTTACAAGAAATTTTACTTTAATCGATAAAACGACAAGAAAACCTTTTTTTTATTTGTATTTTGGATCTATAGTTAGTATTTTTATGAAGTTATTTTTTTTATTTTTCAAGCAGTTTTCAAAATAATTAAGGAAAAACATAAAAAAAACGGGGAAGTTTACGGCAATAATGGTTTCATTATTTCGATTTTGTTCTTTTGTTGTAATTTGTTTAACTAATATTGGCTTTTTATAGATGTGGTTAAATTTTCTAAACATTCTAGCAATTAATTAATGTTCATTTGATAACACTTATCAAATACATACACATCGACGGTTTAGTTACAGCATAAATAATAAAGAAATAGATAGGCCATTTCTATAACATTAATGTATGTTAGCCAATGCTCTTGGAAGGTCGAAAAACTAAGGCGATTAAACAGTAATCATCAAGGATAAAATGTTATAAAAGAAAAAAAACTGCCCCACTTTACAAATTAACTTTGGAGCATTGATAAAATGAGGATAGATAGCCTAAACTTTAGTATCTACAATTTCAACAGGGGGTAACAATTAAAAAAAAAAGTCCAAAGGGGGAATAATTTCCCCACACCTGTCAAATCTGCAACTGCGGCCTGGCGTACTGCTATACGTTTAGTTATTCCAAATGCCATATATATGTAGTGTACTGTTATTATATAGTTGTGAAATATGGATCATCACTGGATAAGAAAAACTTAGAGGCCGTGGAAATGTGGATTTTAAAAAAAATGAAGAGTTATGACGAGTTCTTACAGCTAGGGGACCACCTGCAGAACAATTTTTTGACAAACATTTTTGAAGTATGGGCAAACACTCATAAATAGGAAGACACAGGAAAAATCACGAGACAAGCTATTTGGATCCGCAGTGTGCCGATATGAAGAGATTCGCTATAAACAGAAAAGACTGTAAATTCACATTCGCAGTTACAATGGATAGTTTTTAATGAAAATAATACATATATTATGTTTAGGTAGATATTAGATTTTAATAATTTTGACACTGATTAGAAAGCCTCCATCAGCCGCACTGTTCGGTCTGTTCGATAGTAAAAAAATGCAGTGGCCTATTCAACAGTGCAATGTCGAGTTGACCACTTTCTTACTATACATATAATACAATATAGACTCTCTTTTATCTGCCTATCAACTTTAAACGTATACTTACGATTTGTCGAAATCATTCACAGCGCAGAGATATAATTGTACAGATAACATAATACGTATACTTACCTAAAAATTATATTATATTATAGAATTTCAACATAATTTCGTAACGGGTTTCCTATGTAATATTACGTAAATTAGGTATCTGCAGGTAAAGAGTCCGTGTATGCGAGGGAGATTATTTTTAATATTGATAAACTTGTATTTTTACTCAAGAGTCTAGGTCGATTCGTTCCAAATAATAATAATTATTATAATTTACCTTGAATAATTAAACGTATAGCGATTGTAAAATGTGTGTTTTGTTCAAGTGTCTGCATTAAAACAAAAAAAAATTTTAACAATCGAGCGATAGTGGTTTATTGACAGCAAATTGTACAAATCAAATTATTAATACTTATTATACAAACGATATCATGCTGTTTAAAAAAAAAAAAAAATTAGTTGTCGTAATAGTTTTAAACATATTGTTATTATAAAATACGGTGTGTCGCTGTGTGTGTCACATAAAATAACTTTTTTTTTTTATACAATTATTTTTTTATTTTTTTCATACAATCTTTATAAGTTACTTGATGTGGCTCTCGAGGGCCACATATTATATTATAATAGTTAAATATTTCTGAAAAAATACCGAAGATAGTCAACATTTAAATGGCAATTTCGATTTTTATGAAGAATTTTAAATTAAATTTATAATTTATATTTGTTACGGATTCGAAAATTGCCATGGAAGTATTATTGTTCGTCGTCAGTGAAATATTTTGTTCATCCGTTAACGTTTGGTGCCCGCGTTTATTTGTATACCATTCTCATTAAATCGTTAAGATGTTCATACTCAATTAACCCTCATCATTATTAGATAATAACAATGAATTAAATATAACAAACCAGAAGTAAAAATGTATTCGTCAGTCGAAATGTTTTTTTTCTTGATATTATTTTGAGTTTAAGTTCACCAATAGTTTTTATAAAATACAATCTACGTGGCTAACACAGACGTAATTTGAAAAAAATGAAATTTACACAATTTTTTGTGGAATATACACAACGTGAGACACTCATGTCGATATAGTCAAATCTAGTCAATTTTGAAACATTATTATTTTTAGTAATATAAATAACATGCAGGTACTTATATAATTAACTTGATTCAAAATAATAAAGTTTTTCAAAGCAAACTGGAAATTGTTCACCGCATAGCAAAAAGTAAAAAAATATATATATTATCATACTTAATTTAAGTTGTTTTTACTTCATATTTGTCTCGAATTCCAGAGAATATAAATAAACACACGCCATGATAAAAATATAATAATTTACAATTATAAACTCATATAAAAAATTTAATTCAAATAATATTCGGTTTTTCAATTCACTTCGTTCAACAATAATAATTATATAATGTCTATTGCAGTCTGTATAATCTTTCTCCGGGCCAAAAACTTTCCGGATCGTAAATTAAAAATTTCTCAATAATTTGACATGAGTCCATAATATAGTAATTTAAAGAGAACTGATTAGAAAAAAGAACTAGTCTTATTTGAATTGTTGCGGGGTATTTTCCATTTTTCGACACGCGCGTATTGTCACAGATTAACATTATCACGCCAATACGGATATAATACAAACTAATACAATATTATTTACTATTACACTGAAAGTACTTAACATCGTTGCAACAATAATCGAAGGGGACAATAGGATAATCGGACAAGCCCACTCTATCTGAATATCCATAACCAATGTAGACACTAGACGGGTAAAAACACAAACGATTTAATTACCATATCAGTCTGGAAATATTTGTTTTCTTGAAAAAAAAAAAACGTAAAAAGTGATTTTGTACAAAAATGGACCTACACGGTTGACCCCTTTAATTACTTTTATTCGCAGAACACCCTCTGTTCAAATCGATAACCAATTATCTAAAACGTGTTTATCATTTTAGTCGATGACAAGATATACTCATCGTAATATCTCCGGAAATAATAAAGGTAATTAAATTCTGTTTTTTTTTTTTACATTACTCACAATGATATAAGTACTACAAATATTTTTACTGCAACTAATTTTCTATGTTTTGATAAAAAACTTAAAAAAAAAAAATGACTTTTCATTTCATTAGTTTTGGAAAATTTGAAGATGGAAATTTTATTATAGAATGTATTTTTCGGAAAATGTTGACATATACATTTTTTATTTTCATTGAATTCGTGATTTTTTCAAGTTTAGAGAATAGTACCCATAATTATGCAGCGGGCTAATGTAATCGCATTCGCTAATTGATTATTATTATTAAGAATAATTGACTATACCTACACTTCTGGTCTTTGAACTTAAATAAAATATTAAAAATCAAGAATTTAATGAAAATGAAAGTTTGTTATGGCAACATTTTCAGAAGAATAAACTTTATATTATGGCTACCTTCAAATTTTTCGAAAATAATAAAATAAAAAGTTATTTTTTTAAGTTTTTTGCCAAAGTATAAAAAATTAATTGAAACATAAATATTTATAGTCCTTATCCCAGCAAGTATTATGAAAAATAAGAATTTGATTATTTTTATTATCTCCGTAAGTATTACAATGGGTATATCTTCTTGGGACACCCTGTATGTATAATATATCGATTTATTAATTTTTAATGCTAGTACCAATTTTTTTAACTACTTTAAAGCAAGTTATTCTAAGACACAAAACAACTATGCTAAGATAAATTTAATTTTAAAACTTAAATTAATTTCCGTAACTAATTTAAATTATACACTTTCAGGAAAATAATAACATAGTCATGCTATAAGTTAAAAGTCACTTTTTTAAAATGATCCTTTACTATACACTCATAAACGTATATTGTACTCAAATACTTGAAATTTTATAAATTGTATAAGCTTACAATGCATTCGAGTGGGTATCTGATATTCCTGCATGGCTTCATAGATCACATGCCCATCTGGTTATATACTTAGTAATAATTTTCACGTAATTTTCGTTAAAAAATAAATGTAAACGACATAAGTATACATTGTTTTTTTTTTTTATAAAAATTCGTAATTATTCGTTAATTTTGAAGTTAATAAATAGGGAAGTTAATATTTACTAAAAACAAAATAACTATTTTTCAACATAGTGGTATTTAAAAAAAAAAAAAAAATATTTATTTTAAAAGTTATGAAAAAAGTAACTTATAATTTAACTTTTAACTTTTTAACTAGTAACTACTCAACTTGAATAATTTATGAATTCACGGATATTAACCTTGAAAACAATTTTGTTTCTTGTATTTTAAATTTTGTCAATATCTAATTTCGAAAATACAAAAACGGGCGTGCGTATATAGGTATTCAAAAGTATATACTGTTGTCGAGTGTATTATAGATAAATAATACCCGTGACGTAGGCACGTAAGATGGATGACGTTATATTTTACCAACTATACCTACCCTTATAATAATATATTATAGCGATGTCTCCTCTTAAGTATATGTATATATATATATATATATATATATATATATATATATTGTATATTGTATATAGCTTTCATTTGAATTTGGCAAAGACTGAAAACGAATATAATATAGTATATTGTACATGTTTAACAATAGAGAGAGACATTTTATACATTAATCAAACATCAGTTATTATCCGGTCTGTACTAAAATACGCCGCAGTATATGCATTATACGTTTGATGGTGATTTGCAATATTCTGATAGCAACAAATATACACAAAACGTTCCGAAAAGTGTCCGATCACTATTGATCAAATTATTTTTTGATAAATAATATGATAAAAAAATTATAAACCCAAAAAACATATTTACGAAAAAACGACATTCACTGCGAGCGAAAAATAATATTGTATTTGTTCACAAAACACACTACACAATTATAGTGATAAATATACCAAACGAAATGTCTCAATAAAAAAAATAAAAAAAATTTCTCTAGCGAATGTCTCTAGTTTTAATGTTTCTCCAAAGCATCTCTATCAACAGAACTACGCTCAGAATCGTTTTTTCGTCAGCAATGGTTTATCGTTGCTAAGAGATATACATTAAATACGCTTCTGTATTCTATCTTCCCAACTTCCCACCTACAACAGTGGCTGCACCAACGTGCGAAGTATGTCTGTCTTTTTTATGAAATAACATGTATTTCACAGAACCAAAACATTGTAAAATCAAGCAAAATAATTTCATATTTTATCCTTTTTATTATTGATTTCAATCAAACTGTAGTAGATTATTTTTTCCTAAGTAAAAAATAGGTATTGTAATATAAAACTACAAACACAAAAATATTGAAAATATATTTTCTTTAAATAATTTAGAATAGTATTAAAATCATTTCTTTTTTTTTTCGACTATACAAGAAGATAACCATATAATAATCTCTATAGCGACTCTATCTTTGGGCTATACCTATATCCCATCCCACATTGAATTCATACTCAGCTCGCCTATCTTCTTTGATTCGTCGTTTTTCCAGTTATACACCGTTCCTACCCTTACGAGCGATCAAACATATCGTGTATACGGAAATTTACTGATAGTACCTATATTATGTATAATTAATTAAAAACGTCCGAATCTGAACAGGTCCAAAATCTTTTCATCGAGTTTGGTTGGTGGTGCACAAATTCTCTGTATTATTGCACAATGTACCCTCTATCACACAGAGAGAGCTTTTGTGCGAACACAAACATTTATATGGTATAACTAATATTAGGATTATTCATCGTAAAACGATCCGTTGGACAAAATGATAGTCATATTATCGCACACATAGCAAATAAATTGGTTTATTCCCCCGGGTCGTCCGAGTATAGGTTATTTAATGTAATATTTATGCTATTGGAAAATAGGTGCTCGTAGTATAATTCTACAAGAGAATTTATACTACTTAAGGAGCAATGGCATTTTCGGTCTTTCTTTCTTTTTAAGTATAACAAAAATGTGTTCACGTAAAACAAAGGAAAAAGCCTTTAAAATTGTTTTTAAAGATAAATTACCTAAGAGAAAACGTACGAATGAGAAAATTATGATGTCGATTTCGTCGGTGTTTTACAATGCTGTTAACATTAAACTCCTCTAAAAGTATAAAAAATCGCATTGAAAGTACATTTTTTTTTTTTGAGAACTGTATTTTTTTAAATAATTAAAATTTCAATAGATGCCGATGCATCTTAAAAATTTAGACATCTATAAGTTTTATCATAGGTATTTTGTATATTAAACCATTTATTTTAACGGTCTTCAAGTCCGTTTTACGTGAATATGTTTTTGCTCTACTGTCCGTTAGAATGACACGTAGTCGACAAATTCGACTACGACGGGATCTTCACGCATGCGTCTAAACTGTCTCAGTTTAATTAGTCACGGGCAACATAGACAAATAATTATATTACGCAAAAAAACGAGATTTAAAGAAAAGGATATTTTCGAGGGAAGTACGTTTATATTGTTATTTTTGTTTTCACTATTGTCGATATCTGCAGAAAATTTACGGCCAAGTCTGTTTTGGAGGGTTTTACAAAGCTGTAACTTTTTGTTCGACAACATTACGGAAAAACAGCTAGCACCGTCCTCGTCCTATTAAAATCTCATCTAAACTTCAATTATTCCAACCTACACGCGAAAATATCGCCGTGTCTTTCGTCGGTGAGACTGAGGTATAAATACGCGGATGTGGCTTTATCTTATATTAACATTTTGGCGGGCTCGTGGGACATCCGAGCGAAAATCGAATACGCGGGGATACGTGATAAGAATAGCGCCATTTATAAATTATAATACAATTAAGAACAAATTAACACGCGAACGCGACTTATTTTTGCGTAGGTCGCAGGACCGCCGTGCATTATGTATTTGCACGGACGATCGATAAAACTCGATCGCTAATCCGCACGCCACTGGCCGTTTCGTTGTTATTACTATAATATATTGAATAGAATATTAGGTACATAAATAGCGAGTTTTACGACTTGAGCGCGATATCCCGTCGTTTAAATACGCCGTCGCAGCTGGTGTCGGTTTTTAATCAAACGGCGGACGGGCGAAGCGATGATGCAGAGCACTGCGCAAACAGCATTTTATTAAAGTCGTGTGTGATACGTGTGTCGTAGCGATGTGTTTACCGTTTGTATTACTGCGATAATAATATTATCATTATGTGTGTATAATATACGGGTATTCAGGCGCGTCATTCGAGGGATTTAAACACTTTGGCCGGTCTGTTTATTTGTTTATTTTTTTTTTTTTTTAATGGGTTTTTGATCCGCATAAAATGTTATAATCGCGTCGTCGTCGATAAAATGTAGAACGCAAAAGGTTGAAATGCAATGCCACTGCCGATGGCCACCTCTGCCGGGGTGTCCGAGATGCGAGAGTGAGATACCGCGGTCGAAAATGTATTTATTTGACGGATTTGTGATAAGAGCTGTATACTGTTATACGTTTAAACACCGGTATTGAGACTATGACGTTTAAGAGGGGTTAAACGTCATAGTATTATGTAGGCACTCGTGTTTTCTTTATAAAGGTTCTCTATTTGTTTCGACGTTGATAATGATTTAAATTGCCCATACAGTAGTATCATCAAAGGCTGTATTAAGTTACTGCAGAGTTTCGTATAAATCTTCGAAGCGAAATAAAGGGCCGCGTCGCGCGTCGGACGGAACGGAATTATTTTTTTTTATTTCTCTCACATATTGTCACAAATTACGGGACGGCAAAAAACAAAATAAAAAAACTTTAAGTTACTTAACCCTAACAAGTACATATATATTTATATATATATATATATATATATAGGTATGTGCGTGTGTATGTGTGTCTGCTCACTCTACACAGTAACGAAACTCCGATCGATAAATCTAGTCGACTGCAGCAGCAATTCCTTCTCGGTTCGTTTTTATTATATTATATATATATATTTTTTTTTATTATATTATTTTTATAGCAGGGCGAAATATGTTCAATTTTTTTCCGCGCAACAAAACCCGCGCGCGGGTATAAAATGTATTTTCCCGAGGCAAAAGTAAAACGCCACGCCGTTACACGATTTCCTCTTTTGATAATATAAAACTTTTTTTTTCATAAGACTAGGTTGACAATGGTAATTCCGCTGGAGAAAGTTAAAAAGAAGTTTCAATGGAACACTTTTAGCTTTTCCGACTATGTTATACAACTATAATATATATATATATATATATATATATGTTTAATGTGTATAACTGTAGTTAGTTGGCTGGCTGTGTACACGCATCATAGACAGATATGTGTATTGCAAAAAAACCATTCACGGACATTACTCAATAGAAAATGTTGCCAGAACGGACCCCAAAATGATAGAAGATTCGTATAATATAAAATGTATACATAATACGAACACAAAACGCCAAACACGTACACTATAACATTTCTTTTGTAGTTTGTCGCTATGCTACGTGCGTATATATCTATTCTTATGTGGTAGAATTTCAAAAAACCATAAAATCTCGTATATACACTGTTATTATTATTATTATTATTATGGTAAAATAGTAATAATGACGGCGAACCCGAAAATAAAATGCCAAACATAAACCTTTTGGGCGCTTTGAAATTTGAATACAGACGACGGGTTAATGTTATTTAATTCTATTTCGGATCGTCAGAATTGATAAAACGTATTTTTGATTTATATCGTTAAGTTTCTTTTCTTTTTTTTTTCAACAAAAAGGAAAAATGTAAAATCAATTCTTCTGAAATGGAACTGCTGCAGCACAACAATCGATTATAGAATAGAATAAAAAAAAATACCCGTGCGAAGTAGTGCTCCGTCACTAAAAAGTTGTATTTTCTCTCGACTGTTTTGTAATACAGAAATATTCATTTTAAAACAGAAAATAACCGAATATTACAATAGTATAGTACTATATACTACTTATAAGTAAAACAAATAATGATTACATTTATGCATAAGACACATTAATAAAATAATAATAAAATTCTTTTAGACACTTACGTAATTCATAAATTGCTTTATTTGGGAATATTTGGGAGTATTTAAATCTTAAAATACAACCTTTCCCACAACACTACGCTAAAATTCATAATGAAAATAAATCAATGATTTATTACTTCAATCCACCTACATGAATATTCCAATTCCCGAGTTTGAGCTTATTTAATTATGAGTCACCAGAAGAGCATACATCAAAAATAGTGCTGATAATAGGGACGGGTGTGCCACTTTTGTAGTTGGAAAATTGAGAAAATGGATAACATTAAGTTATTTAATTTATATCCGTAAGCAACGATAAACCATTTCTTATAAAAAACGATTCCGAGAAAAGTTTTGTTAAACATGTTTAGAAAATTTGTCAACAAAATTCGATATTAAAACTCTTATAAAAATTATACCCAATTACACTCAAATGTTTTTAGAATTTTACCACGTCTAGAAAAGGTAAATATTAGTTTTCTGTCCGAATTTCAAGTCTCTACGAATGTTTTTTACTGAGTTGTAACAAAAGCAAAATTACAAAGACGTCCTAGAATAATGGGGACGGGTGCAGCCACTGTTATAGATAATTTAATGTGTACCTGTAACGATAAACTATTGCTTACGAAAAACCGATTCTGAGCGGAGTTCAGTTGATAATGATGCTTTGTCAACAAAATTTGTCATTTGATAGTAAAATAATTAAATAGGCTTTGTATATTTTCTTGAATAATATTTGTTTAATGTTTTACCGATTTTCCCAATTTTCTTACGTTTTTCCCGTTTATCCCGGTTTTTTAAATTCCATTATTTATTCCATATTAATTCCATTATTTTTGTAAATTGTTTCATTTTTTCTAGGTTTTTTTCGGTTTTGCTCAATTATTATAAAAATAACTCGTACAATTACAGAACAACTTTCTTACTCACGAACTATATTAAAAATGCAACAATAATAGTTTTTTGTCGGTTTTATATTGAAGATTTCTAGTAGAAAACATCGTGCGTAATACAAACATACTGTGCACGATGGATCACCCACTGTTGTAGGTGATAAGTTGGGAAGGTTGAGGGAAAATGTATAAATGTATATCTGTACGCTACGATTAAGCATTGCTTCGGAGCAGTTAAAAATGTTGTTTTGTAATATTTACGAGTTTTATTAAAATTTAATATTGTAATTCTTTTTTAAAAAAAATACCACATTAAATTTTACGTTTTATTGTTCTCCACTAAGTACAAATTATAATGAACTTTCTGTTAAATTTCCAAGTATTTATGTTTGGTCTAATAATTATATTCACAGAGTACTTTCCAAAAAAATATTACAGAAACAAATCTTGCAAAATTAAAATTTTTATTAAAGTTTAAAAATGGTTCAAATGTTTTGAACATTTTACCACGTATAAAAAAGGCAAATATAAGGTTTTGTTCAAATTTCCCAAAGTTCCTACGAACAGTTTAAAGTGAATTGCAACAAAACCAAAAAACAAAATTCAAATTATAAAATCATTATTTTCGTAAAGTTTCCCGTTTTTTCCATGTTTATTTTCAATTATTTTTGAAAACCTCTTTCAGAAAATGTGTTACAGTTGATACTTTGGAGCAAGATTTCTGGTAGAATTTGTGTACACAGTGTAAAAAAAAATAAACACTATTGTAAAACCAATACATTCCTCGCTTCGTCTAGAATCTAAAATAATAAACGTCGCTTTAAAACCAATACTGTTATATATATATATAAAATAAAAAATACTGTTTAATAGTTTCTATTTTCAAAATTCAAAAAACTGGTAATTAAATATTTAATATTACTTTAAAATTTATAACAAAACTACCAATTGCATTGGATTTTGTTGTGAATGATAGATTGAGGTTTCGGTAGTTTCATTTTTATTTCAAAAGCGGCCAATATAATGTATCAAAATCGTAAAATTCGTAAAACTAAAAAAAAATACATACATTTGACGCCGGAGGTATAGGTAGTGTTGAAAAACAATAACGATCTAACTAATATACTTCAGGTCCGTATTTTAAGTCGTACGCTAGGGACTGTATAAAAAGTTCTGTTTATAAATATTTATACGAATATTGATCATACGTGTGTTGACAGCAGTCTGAGATTGTGATCGAAACTCGTAAAAGCTTTTTATGAGATTTAAATATATGCATAATACTAGTTGTCCCGCATGGCTTTGTCCGTGCGTAGTATTAAAAAAAAAAAAAACAACAAAACAAAGTAAATTTAAAAAACAAAATTGTGTTCCCTCAATCCGCGAGATTCTCCGTTTTCACTCACATCCCTAGTTAACCGTTATAGTCCGGTAATTTTTTTATTTTTTTTTAAAGCTACTTTCTTACTCGTGACAATCAAATTAACTTAAATAAATTGGTTTTTATTTTATTCTTGTCACTAAGGTATTAAGTAATTCATAATTCATACATAATTCAATTTTCGCATCAAAAATACCAAAAATCTTGTATGAGCGATCTTTTTGAGGATATAATTTCGCAAATATGCTTCTGTACCATGTGCATTTTACAGACATCTGCGTACGATAGATTCGGCTGTGCATTGCGCACAAACAAAAAACAAATCACAAACAGATAGACAGATACTTCATTCTATTAATATAGATAATATGGGTGGAAACCCATATTGGTGTTAGGAATAACATCACTGGTAGGAAATCAACAAAAATAAAACCTTGCATTACCTGTGTATTGTCATTTGTAGTGAGACTTTTCAATTTTATAGAACGCTTTTTTTTTAAAAAAAAATAAATAATTAAAGATGTTTTTGAGCGTTAAATGTACCTTCTGTACCTGGCTAACTATAGGCTTGAAAAATGGAGAGAAGCACTTGTAGTAAATGTACCAAGGATAAGTATAATTAAAACAGAGTATGAGTCCTCTACACTTTGGAGGAACAGGATAAGACAATTGATGACAATGAGCGTTTATGGGCGAGGTTGGATTTTAAGTACCTAAAATGTTAATGTTAATGAATGATGAACATTTGATTAAGTGTGGTTGGATAATGTGGGAGGAAGCGTAAGGTGTTTTATGCAGTGTTCGGAATATTCACTAAAAAAATGAATTCGTTCAGGTTCGTGTTTTCTTCAAACCAACGCGTACACGTTCTTTGAAAAAATAAATGCGTTCATTAGGTCGTTTATTTAATTTTTTTTTTTTTATATAAATAGTTTACCTACAGTCAAATATGCCGAAATCACTGAGATACTGAAAACAATGAAAATTGAACAATAATTCTAAATGTCACAGACCGCAGTGGCACAGCAGATACACGTTTTACAATAATCACAACTACGAATAAATTCCGTGCGTGTTCTGCGTGTCCCTGTCGTTTTGTAATTAAATTTAAATTCGACGGTACTGATGATAAACGATAAAGCCTATTATAGCCCATACGACTGCAACATACCACTAAAATACGTTTACACTTATTCATTTTTATTATTGGCCCATTAAATTAGTTATACCTGCAATTTATTACAAATTTGTGGAAATTATAACAATATTATTGTTGTTCTGTGTCCGCTGGAATTGCATGTATTTAATTTTTTGTAATTTGCCATCAAATAAAATATATAATAGGAATTATAATAGGAAAATCTGATAACATTATTATATAAAATAAAAAAATTAATAGATTATATACATAAATTTATTAAATGCCAAATAAATTGAGCGTCTTAAAAATCGTTTTAGATTTATTAAAAATATAAACGTCGTAAACGTTCAAGTTCTATTTGAAAAAAACGAATGACGTTCGCGTATCGTTCATTAACTATGAACGTGCGTTCATGAACGACGTTCTTCCCAAACACTGGTTTTATGTGAAAAGATAATTCCAATGAGACTTAGAGTTAAGTTCTACAAAAGTGTGATAATGTTGTATCGTTCGGAGTATTGGGCGGTAAACTGCCAAATAGAAGAGATAATGAGTGTGGCATGTAGCAGTCTACACTCATCTGTGCAAAGATAAGAATACTTAATTGGATGAGTAGAGTGACGAGAGATGATGGGACAAGGAATGAGTAAATAAGAGATTAGAAGAAGAAGATTATAGAAATATTAACAAATTAATTACTTTTTTGATGGTGAAAAAAAAATGGAAAATGGAATAGAAAATGTTTTTCTTTTATAATAATAGTAGTTGTTTGGCAATCAATTGAATAGATATACAATAAAATTGGAATTATTATAAATATCTAAAAAATATCTTTTTTTTGACTCAGAGATATCATAGCTGCAGAGCAATACGGGACTTTAAAAAAACACCCTGTATACATATAACTACATATTACCATCGTACAGTTACCCGAGTCCGGGCACGGATTTCCAGTCCCGAGAGGGTAGTAATGCGTGTAATAAACGACGGGAAACCGCTAATGACGTCCGCGCGAAAACGCGTAGGTACCTATACACTTACGCCTCAAACGATTACTACTACTATTTCTACTAGTACTACTACTTCTACAACTAGACATATAAGCGGTAGCCTAACCCACCTATATGGAATGGAGAAAAAACCGCCGGGCGGAGCCACGGTGATGGCTGGGTTTGCGTGAACGGCGGGGGGGGGGAGGAAAAAAACAAGAAAAAAAACCCCGTCCGAGAGCAATAGAAATACCGTCCGAAAAAGTGTATAGGTACTAAAGAAATAAAAACCGGACAACTGCGGACCGCGTACAATATACGTGCGTTTTCTCCACCACAACCTCCGCTGTTCTGGTTTTTTCCACCCCGTTCCGGAAGTCCGTAAACAAACACACACGCGCGCGCGCGCGCGCGCACATGTATAAACTACTGTATACTCAAGCTTAGCTGGGAAGGATGGAAGGGCGGAAAGGAGAAGCGGTGAAGCGCGCGAGTTACTTTTACCACGCCCGCCAATAATATTGTGTACACACAAACACGCACACCTCTAAAAGCCCATTTTTCCGGTCCACACGGTCGCGTCGGTTAAGCCCGGTTCACACGTCCGAGCATGCGTCGCATAAATATATAAATAAGTGAGTCGAGTATACTTTCCTCATAGCCTAGAGCCGTGTTTAGGGTTTGGACAAGACTGGCTTAAGCCAAGAACATACCTCAGAAAAGGCCGCGAAATCCGGAATTTATATTCACGATAGAAATGTGAAATTTTAATGAAAATGAAATATTGGTATGTAGCGAAACGATCTATAATATATTGAAACGATTGTGCGTTGTGTGAATATTTGCCTTTAAGCTAGGTTCACACAAGGTTAGTATTCGACTGAGTTACTGAAACAAGTCGCTTATTGTTTTTTCCTTGAAAAATGTGAATAATGTACACTGGACATGGTAATAATTTCAGTGTCGATTTTAGTCAAAATTTAGTCGAGTGATTAGAAAACAACTTTTTATTTTTCGACCGGGTAGGCATGTCCTCTCGCGCTCACTTGTCTACTAAACCGTTGTAGACACCACTGCAGCCTATATTTTTAGTTGAAACATTGAAACGTTATCACTAACGTGACACCAATACTAAACGCACGTAACCGCGGCTTTATATCCGGATCGAGTCGAGTTGTGAGCCGGTATATTTTCCAGGCCACTTCTCGTCCACCCATATTATAATATTCCGTGACAAATTTCACAGGTGAATCATACTCCATAATCCCGGAGGATAGCGTTCGGTCAACGCTGTCACGATTTATTTGCTCCGAGTTTACACAAATGTCGAACGAGCAGCCCGGTAACTCGACTCTCTTGTTCGTATACTCGCTCCATGTGTGTGAACCGGGCTTAACGTTTTTTCGCGCGTTCCCAGACGTGACTAAATCAGCTTACCGCCGTTTATCGACGATGGACCCAATCGAGTAACCGTCCACTCTCCCCCACCCATTCATTCACTCTCACGACCTTTCTGCCTATACCACCGGCCGGGGTCTTGACCCGGAAAGAAAAAAAAAACGTCGAATCGAAAACTGCCGCTCGTCTCCCCCGCATCCACGAACCCGGCGTGCACGCGTGTTTGACCGGTACGATTGTTCCGTTCCTATATACCCGCCGCCGTGGCCGTTAATAATAAATAATCGGTGATTTCTCGTTTCCGATCCGACATCGGGAATTTGCACACTTGCTGGATCTATTGTCTGACGTCATTCGGGCTTAATAAACGTCACTCGGTTGTCCATATTTTCCATTGGATTCACCGAGGGAGGGTCGAGGGAGAACGTTAAAATTGACTGGTTATTGTAGCCCCAGTCCTGAGCGTAGTGACGGAAGTATTAATTTTACAATATTCTATGGCGGTTATTTTTTTTCCAGATCGATGGCCACTATTCGATCGGCAAAAATCCCCCGAGATATTCATACCGTACAAGTACTTTTCGGAAACATTTTTCTAGATTCTTGAGTTCGCCTAAAAACATTGAAAACCTTGCGACACACGACAATACTTATACCTGTTTTTAATGTAATTTATAACGGAACCCAGAGGTCTGAAAATGTAAGCTAGTATAGTATAAGACAGAAGTAGGGAACACACAATATCTGAATGAGGTATTAAACAATTTCAATTTCTACTCGGGAGTTCACATACTCACATACATTTTAGACTTTTTTTTTTATTTTTTCCTTTTTGGTTTTCTCGTTGCCTCGGTTACTTGGGTCTGAACGCTGAATAGGCTGTTCGGGATCAGCTTAGGGACATAAAGTAATACGACTGCAATTGCCTCTCATAGTCACCGTTGGATTAAAAATTCGCGACAGGTGTGGCCATGGAATTACGACGACGTACGATAGGTACGTGACTGCGAACAATTTATCGGAAACCAATCGCCAGATGGAACCGCGTAAAACGTTTTTCTTTTGTGCAGCCCCGCGAATCGTTCGGACAATGGGCTCGTGATTAACGATAGTTCTCTACGTTATTATGTCAACGTCATAAATATTTCCGAACACGAAAAAACTCGAGTACTTTGTATGAATAAACAGATACGCGCAAGTGCAGATCTTATAATCTCCAAATAGGAAAGAGAGGGCTGAAATTTGTTTTCAGAAACACAACAAACATAGTTTAAGTATCTGCATAGTAATAGTATACAAATGCGATCTAGGGTATTTCGGCGTTATTATACCATTAATAATATTAATAATATTGCAGTTATTTCAATCAAGTAAATAAATAATATGAAAATGTCAAATAAGGTACGGGTTTAGAGAAATAGATTATTATTTGAAATAACAATATTACACATCCTTTATATGGTTTTGCTGTCACATTATATAATAATAATAATAAACAAATCAAAATTAGGGAAGGTAGGGTAAAATAAATATATTTAACTTATATCTTATGAAGTTTTTGATTAGGGTAAGTGTACAAGTAAAAAAAAAACGGACATACTTCACACGTGGATGGGCCACTGTTGTAGGTGAGAAGTTGGAAATGTATATATAGAGGGAAAATTGATACATATCGTGCACACAACGATTATCATTGCTAACAAAAAACGATTCTGAGCGAAGTTCAGTTAACAGTGTTGCTTTTTCAACAATATATATGCCATATCATGGTAAAAAAATTACATAAGCGTTATATATTTTCTTTAATAATATTTAATATTTATTTAATATTAAATCTATTTCCCTGTTTTCCCATGTTTTTCTCATTTATTGGAAAAACTCCTGGGAAAATAAAAAAAATGACCCCTTTAAAATACCATCCCAGTTAGATTTTCTTTCAGAAAAAGTGTCATCATTGTAAATCAGAACAAAATTGCTGGTAGAAAAGTTGTCTATAGAAAAAAAAAAAATAAACATCATTGTAAAACCAATACATTTCTCTCTCCACTCAGAATATATAATAATCAGAAGTACAACTTAAAAATCGAAAAACCGATTGGTTGCCTGTCACGCAATAGACATGTACAATTTAGTAGCTTACGCATCACGGCCAATTATGGCCAATAATTTCAAACATAGTTTATGGAACCGAAAACGTATGCCTGAAAAATTCAGCGAACGTATTTGATTGTATTTACTATTTATTTAATAAGATATAATCGGGGTTTAAAAAAATATAATAGAATAGAAGTTAGCTACATATTTAATCATTACGGTTACCTATTACTACATATTTAGCTCAACCTAAGATTATTCTACTTGTATTATATCCATGAGTACAATAAACGTTTAAATTTAAAAGTTCTTTAAGTATTTAACAGTCTCCAAAGTATACTTTTTAAAAAATACGATTATTTCTCGAAATAGGGATAGTTTTAATTCAAACTAAATGTGAGATTTAAAATGTAAATAATATTATTTTATCAATCATTTTTTAATCGCAAATGAAGAATATTAATAACAATAAAAATACTGATACTGCAAAATGATAGGTGTGCCACAGTTTCAAGTTGGGAAGGTAAGGTACATAGTTATTTAATTTATGTCTATGTGCAAAGACGACTCATGGTCAGCGAAATTTAGTTAAACCGAACGTTGATAAATTCACAATAACATTTATTCATACATTGCGATTCGCAGATAATTATTTTGTTAGTTTCGCGTAAACGCAGACCACTGGGAAATAACCATCGGTGAGACGTGATCACAAAACGGATATGCTCAATACGCTATATACAATACGTCAATAACATCGATATAGCGATGGAAGGTTCAAACCTATTTCGTGGCACTATATAATAAAACGCGACCAAAGAAATCTTACGAACTCGAAATATTCTGTTGTCGGTATACGTGTATATTATTATATACATACGCGGCGACTCTCTCGTTTATTATCTCAATATCCGGAAAATCCTCCGAGAAATTCCCGGCGAAAAAAAATATAATAAAAATAATAAAGCCAGGGGGAAATTTAATTAAAAACTCTTCCGACTCATTCTGTTCAAACGAGTTATGCTCGAACGGAGCAGTATAGTATACAGCATACAGTATTAATAACGAAGTTATACGCTGTACGGGTAAACTATATATATATATATTATTATTTTTGTACCATAGGCCGCAGCTCTCCAATCGGCATTTTCGCCGATTGAAACAATGCCAGCATTTTAAGGTGTAATGAATCCCAGACACGTCTCCGAGGCGGGTTACGTACCTTATACCGGGAGTCTCTATAATTTGCAATAAAACGAAGATATTATGTAATTCGCACCACCGCAGGAAGTCGAAAATAATATATTTGTAACTTGTGCCAGAAACACTATCGGTTGTCGAATGTTCAATGATACCGGCGGCGGTGCATAGTACTGCGCATTATTAATTACAGTTTACTTCATCTTCGCGCGGCTGTAACGGGCCCGACGTAAGAATGGGGACTCGGAGGAAAAATATTGAAATAAATTTGACTCCAGCTCGAGTTTGTAAATAATTAATATTTTCACACAACAAACATTGCAAGTCAAATAAATAATTCTCAACAAAATATACTAAGTTCAAAAATATCAAAAGTATTCGTCCTGGTATTTCTCCCCTTGTATTCGTTAGTGTTAAGATTTAGTATTTGTCCATATTGTAATTTTTCGAATATTTTGTTTTCGTACAACAAGAGTTTAGTTTTGTCACCCTGTGTTGTCGGCAACGTCTTACACTCGTAAATAACTATTTAGCATATATACAATTTTTGCTTGATATCTATTAATATTGCAAGAAGTTTCGACGAGACTATTTCATTTTTTACTCGTAGCTTTATTTTATTATGCATGCTATTTTTGTGGTTTTTATTAACGTGCAAATAATTGTAAATAGGCAATTTTTTTAATAAAAAACAATCAATAGTACATTTTCGCTGGAATACTGGACGTCTACCCGTTTTATACATCTAACATTTTGTTTTTGAATTTGATTTTGAATTATTTTACGGAACAGTGACGTGATTAGTTTTACTAAGATTTGTCTTGCCTTACCTTTGGGCGCAGTTGAAAATGATTAGATTGCGGATCGAATCTGACAACAATAATATTATTGTTATTATGTTTTTTCGTTTAGTTCGAACGAGATTATACAGTCGCCGCACGACATTACGGTGTAAAACGTTTGAATGTTAATATTATAATATACAATAAGTTTGCTTTCGTACACTTCTCGTCTTTCCTCGGCGTTTGGGTTGTACGTGTTCGAGTTGTTCGAATAGTTTCTCGACTTTGCTCCGTCCGTGATGTGTACTATTATTATTATTATTATTATTATTATAATAACCGTTTGAAAACTATTCGAACCAATTTTAAAACGGCATTTGTCAATTGAAATGAAAATACTTGTAAAACATCTTTCATTACGCTGCAGAGTGTAGAAACAAAAGACAAGTGTTATAAAGAAAAACAAAAATGCACACCTATATGTATTTCCCTTGAACTGTGTACTTGAGTTGTGTTTAATTACTTGTATAGTATTGTGCGTGTCTCGTTATGGTACCCATACTAAAAAGTACAATCACGGTTTTTCATTTTAGAATAGAAAAGTAATAATTGTCGGAATGCAGTAATCGATAATAATTACTACCGTCTATACTGACCTTGAATCGTTCAATCATACTCGCAGAGTAACAATGAAAATCACAAATTCCCACGAAGGAATTTCATAAGGTGTGTCAAATAATATAATAATATTATTGTGAGCAAATATAATGATATTATTCGACTGCAGACACGAATTAATTACGTCTTAAATACTATCAAACGAATATGTGCGCTTGAGCGCGAATAACTGTTTATTTTTCCCTCGACTTGTTAATAAAACACGAATTAATTAAATCTGTAATATGGCGTTTCTGTGATTTTCCACGGTTTTCCAACAATTTTTACTAAAAACAAACGAGAAGGCCTTTGAATTCCGTTTAACAGAGTTAGAACGCACGTTATACATTATTAATGGTAAACACTATACTTTATGACTTATATTCGACGGGGTTTTTTGAAATATTAAGTAAGTAGGCATAGAGGCTATAAGTAGGCTTACAGTTATTTAAATAAAATGCAATGTGTACGGTTTTAGTACCACAGATAAAACAGAGTCCGTGTAACAATGGCAACATTTTTCTCTGGGAATTTTGGTGTATAGGCATTTTTATTTGGATATTTTGTCGATTGCGATTTATTGGCTATTATTGCTGATTACCCTGGCACCGTTCAATAACGACTCGAATATTTTGGGAACATTAAGAAAACGCTGATGAAGTCTTGTAACGTGCGGCCGTGTAAACATGTTATAATTTACTATTTTGTCCGTTACGCGTGGAAGTATTTTTGAACCGTTTTCTTAAGATTGCCCGCAATGATAAATAACGTTTGTAACATGGAAAATACGGTACTAAATTCGATTTAAAGCGAATTTGAATATTTTTGAGTTCATTTACATAATGTTTGATTTTCAAAAATTTCGTTAAAATAAATATAGTGTTACCGGCCTGGATAAAGTTTGTCATCGTTTATTAAAATCAGTGGAAAATGTGGGCTACGGGGATGTAATTAAAACGGTATAATATTATGTTAGCCTAACCTTCAGCCCGTGTTATTTATACGTCGTTTTAGTCTTATGCGCCGTGCTCACCGTTGTTGTGGTAAGAGTAACCTATTATATTTTGTGAAACATTATTAATTATAGGTATATTATACTTATATTGTATGTACCTAGGACAATACAAAATCAGTCAATTTTCAATTCAATTTTATCGCGATCGTATAATGATAATATTATCATATTTTAAGATCTCTGTACATACTACACCTGCACAATGCGTTTGTGTTTTAGTTAAGTACTTTTATTTCATTATTTTCATTCGATTTTTTTTGTGTGTAATTTTGTTGCATAAGTTTTCTTCAATAACATGTCCATGCGATTATTGCATCTAAAAAAATAACATCGGTAGTACTGTATTACAAAATAATAAAATATTCATCGTAATCGTTTTAATCATTTTCGTTACTCGAGTGTTTTTGTCAGACTTTGTGAAATACGCAAAAGAATAACTGATTGCACTGTAATAGTAATATAGTTGTTTGACATATAAACTTATTTCGGACCAAACTTGTTTTATTTACAACGAATTCATGTGTTGTTATATTTGTTATGCGAAAAGTTTGAAAACTTCAATGTACCTACTTACTGGTACGAAAAATAATTAGGCTCGATAGGTGAAATAAAAATGGCAAACAGTAGGATGCTACATATCTATACTGTTTTTGAGCGTTTCCTGATTCAGTTATTGGAGAATAAAATGACAAATAATGATTGTTTAAAATGTATAAAAATAAATTATTATAATTGTATTTATTGACCTTTCAGGCTAAACGACAACAAAACAAAATACGTGCTAGAGAAATAATAATAATATCAAAATGTTATAAATCATTGTTATTAGAGCAATAATTCTTTTTGTTTTCATGTAGAATAACAAACGTATATTATTAAACTCGTGTAAAATTGTTGAAATACCGACATTTTTTAATTTTTTTTTTAACGGTTTATTTTGAAAAAAATTGTTTGTGGTTGCCTTTTCTGACTGCAAGTGCTTATCTGCGACGACTACGCATGACCGCGTTATACATAATATAATCTTCTCACACGACTGCAGTATAAACATTATAATCGGGATATTTGTATTTTCAGTTTCATTCTTGCGAATGTACGTTTAAAAGGTCGCGTAGATAAAGTTCGCACTACGGGTAAGCTGCGCACTTTTGGTAGAGGCGCAAATCTGTAGTTTATTATAGCATTATTTGAAAATAAAAGCAACGCGTTCGATCAATATTGAGTGTCTAGAAACACGATTGTTCAAAAATATAAACAAGTTTAACGATAGTGCGAATCTTTACCAATTTCCTATAGACATCGAAATATTGGGTGCCAGATCACACGAATGATTTGTTGTAATACTCCGAAATAAACTGCATAAATATTGGTTTGTCTCAGCACATCAGCAAATGTATCGATTCAGTATCGATTTATTTATACTTATTCACGCGGAATAAAAACCATTATGTCCATGTCATAACTTTTACAACGTGAATAAAGACTGTGACTTGCCGGGCATGCACGAAGATGCCAAAACTCACTAATGTACGGATGGTGCTGGATTCAAGACTTTAGACATAAAACACCTTTGGTAAGGCTGGGAGATGAGATGGAAAGACCTAGTAAAAAAGGACGAGGAGTCTTTAGGAGGCGAGCCAAATCGAAAGTTTTTAGTGATGGATATAGATAGATAGCGTGAATAATAAATGAAAGCGAGAAAGGATTGTCCAAGAAGCCGAAAACCCCCACACGAAAAAAAATTATATTTGGTTGAAATATAATATTATATCATTCTCTTAAAAAATACTTAATTTACTTTTTTTAACTATATGATTTTCATTTTTCCGTAATTAAATCGAATATTTTTTTTTTATAAATTCTATTGTTTGTTGGTACTTATTACGAAATCGGTAAATTACGTCCCAAAAAAAAATTCAGGTCATATCCTATGTAAATTTCGACCTGGGTATATTTTATATACACGGCCTGAGCATATTTTTTATAATATATGCCTAAGTATTTTTATTGATACGTAAATTACGTTTAAGGCTTTTTTTGCAAAATCAATATTTCCTTCCTATTTTTCAGACTTAGGACTGGCATTATAATTGCATTAATATTGGTATAGTTAAAAATATTAGTTTTGCTTCTTTTTTTTTCTCTTTAAAAATATATTATTAGCAATAATTGTTAATCAGTAATAATGTATGGTAAAAATTTGTGTAATTAAATGATTTGCTTTTGGTAACGTTAATTATTATTAAATTGAACAAAGTACACACAAAGCTAGGATCAAATGTACCCTGGCTGCTAGTATTATTATATTAGTGACCATATTATTATCTACACTGTAGATTATAACTAAACTTTAAATTGTACAGCCGATAGGAAATCGGAATATCCGAACTAAAATATATGTACTTTTAAAAAATACCAGCCGACTGTACAATTTAAAGATCATCTAGTAATGCTCTACGATATAAATAATATTACCTTTGATCATTAATATAAGTTTTTACGTTGTTTTGTGTGTATTTTTTTTAAATAAAAAGCATTTAAGCATATATACTATACAAAATATACCCGACCCGCAATTTACCCACACAATTTAAAATGGGACGCAATTTACTGCGACCAATTTATTATTCCATTTATCTGATCAAACAGTTATAGACAATTTGAAAACTCTGAGTTTATTTAAAACGGTATAAGTACCATTTTCACGAGCAAGAAGAATGGAAATCAAAATGAAAAATATTCCAAAAAGAGAGCACAAAATGAAAAAAAAAAAAATAAATATTTAAAGATTTCAAACAAAATTAATTTTATCCGAAATGTTTAGTTTTAATATATAGGGTTGCGGGCTACTGAAGTTGAAAAAGCAACCGTGACCGCTAATTATTCTACTCGAAAAGATCGTCGTCGTATTAATCTTATTAATAAAATATAATAGTATAATATTTTATGTCTCGTGACGCCAAAGGAAAAAGAAAATAACGGTGGCATAATTAGATTTTATATTTATTTTGTTTTTTCATAATAATCATACTTCGATAAAATATAACAGAAACCACGACAACCTAAACGAACGAAATCGACAAGTGCCTAATTTGTTTTGACCAACAGGGGCAGTGGCGTAACCAGAAATTTTGTTTGGGAGGACTAAATTCTCCCCCCCCCCACAAAAATATCTTCATTAAAATATTCCCTTCGTAAAATCATGTTTTAAATAGATTATGCAATAAATCATAATAATTGTAATAATAAATATTATCATTATTTATTGTAATCAGTTAATATTTATTGAATTATTTAAACTTATTTATTTCATCAATTTCATTTGTTTTTTTTCCCTATATATTTTCCTAGGTTATATTAAAAAAAATTCGAAAACTCCAAATGTATATACTATACATTTGAAGTTTTCGACTCAGTTCTTTAACTGTTTCTTTAACTCAATGTATAGTTAATTTTTTTTTCCAGAGATAAATCGATATTGTTGGTCGTTGTAAAAAGAATAGTATGTGGCACTTGCATACGTAAATTAACTGCATTTAAAATTTAAAATGTATTGGAAAGATAAGCATGTTTCATTGATCGTACATACTTCAAAGTACTTAGTAGGGATTATCTCTTAAAATAATTTATTTTTATGTTTTGAGTTCAAAGTACCCATAATCAAAAGTTTTCCCGTAATAACTAACGGACATAAATGTGTAACAGCAATTTCATAAAACAAATATTTGCTTAGTGAAATCCAGATTAATTAATTTCTAATAATTATTATACAAACAATACTTATTTTTCCGCGAGTACGTTTTCCGTTTAAATGGTATATGAATTAGACATGGAGGATAAATATTTAACATGGTATATATTATGTATTTAAATTGTTGATATTCTTAACTTTTGGATTCGAAATGTGGCAACGGATAAATTGGTTTTACTATGATGTGGGGTTTTTTTGTGTCTATAAGCTACTTTTTTACCAAAAATCTTGTTCCGATGTATAGAATGTAGCACTTTTTCTAAAAGGAAATTTTATGTAGTTGGCAAATTGGAAAGGTAATTTTTCTGACTTTTCATATAGTTTTCATAATAATTGGGTAAAACCGAAAAAAAAAAAATGGAAATCGAACAGATTTACGGTGTACGATTTCATTGGGTATTTTAAATTTGTACGCACGATGTTTTTTAACAGAAACATTGCTCCAATTAAAAAACGACAAGAGACTTTTTTTATTGCATTTTTAATTTAGTTGATGAGTAATTCAAGGTTAAAAAAAAGTTGAATGCAATGTAGAATTTATTTTGTGTAGACAATTTTAAATATTTTATTTAGTCTTTTAAAATACTTGTAACTGAACTTTGCTCCGAATCATTCTTACGGAATATTTTCTGAAAAGACGATGTTATGTAGTCAAACTCATATTTGTTGTCTTTAATGAAAATAACTTAGTGCGTTTTAATCGAGTAACTGACAGTCACATAAATTGATCAAAATGGGTATATCAGGTAGTATTGTTCAGTTGTCAGAAAAATGATAAGGGAATTGTTGCCACAGCGGCTTGCAGATATATCGTAGAAAAAATATCCGCTATTGCAACTGATACAGCTTCGAGAAAGTTAACATCTTAAATAAAAATCTAAAACCTTTGGTTGTTGAAAAAACACGTGGGGTAGAAATAAAGAAAAGGGAAATGGAAAATGCCACGTCGGTTAGATTAAATATTTGAAATATAAAAGTCGCAGAATAGACCGGAAACATACTAAAAATTATGGCATTATGATATTTAGAGATACATTTCCCCAGCCCCACCATATTAAAATTTTTGAAATGTTTTATTTGTTTTTTTGTTTTCATTCAATTGTGCTACAATCAAGAATCTTTTAATCCTCTAGAATAAATTAATAAATTAAGACTCCTTTGAAAATATGTATTTTAGATTTTGAGTGTAGCAAAAAATGTATTGGATTTAAAAAGATGTTAATTTTTTTTTATGTAAAAACTTTTCTACAAGAAAGATTACTCCGATGTATACGAATGTTAGAACTGATCTTCATAGGTTTTTTATTATCAATGTTTTAAAATACTTTTATCATGGTGTGGACAAGAGAAAAAGGTATTGGTTCAGGGTTCGTTGTAAATTATAATACAGCGGGCGGACTTGAGATTTAATTTTAACCTCAGCCCAAAAATATTTTTATTTGTAAATAATATTAAAAA